GACGTTAAACCCAATTTTACCTCACCTCACCTCACCTCACTAATGCCCGACTGCACTACGTCCGCACACGTCCCCAGTAGTATTGAACTACGGCAATTCCGTTCGTAGTACGGCAATCTCGTTTTAAGTACGTTGTCACTCCTCCCATTTTAGAACGGGTAGAACGTTGGACATGTTCAACGTTCTGGAGCACCCTTCCGTCCCTCGTCCGACCGAGTTGATACAGTTCTTAAACAGACTGTAAACAGGTGCCACTACGTCCAGTCCGTTCGCACACAGTTCGAGCCCGATGTGAACATTTTCAAGAACGTACTGAGAACGAGTTTGGTGTGATGGGGGTACTACTGGATCATTGACCTCCCACTGTTTGGCCAGATCACCCACAAAGGCTGTTGGAAAGGCAGAGGATGGAATTGAAAGTTTTATTATCAATTGGCATGACTTGGAGCAGCAGCTTTGACGTCTGTTGCCATGGAGAAATAAATTGAGAACATGAATGCATGCATTCCGTTATTTAAAAGCAAACAAGGAAACACCATTCAGCTTTGATTATTTTATTTCTTTATGAGACCAGATCATAAATAACATGTACCGATGGTCAATGTGAATTGTAATCTTACAATGTTATGCAACTAAAATGTTGAACAAAAAATGTATATATTATATATGATGTAAAGTGGACGGTATCTATCACAGTCATACAAAGAAACACATGGTTCAGACAACCTGCATCCACAGAAAACACAGTGAAGGACACCAGTAGAAATATTGACACCAAGTCGGAGAATACATGGTTATTAGTGCTATTTATAACATTGTCATTAGTCACAGAGACATCAATGTCAATGGTCACCACAACACCAGGTAAATGGTCACAGTGAAAAACTGTCAGTGTTCATTGGGACCATTTGTCAACTGACAAGTGATGTCAATGGCAACTGCATCAATGTTGGCGGTGACTGTAACACCAGTGTCAGTTGACCAGTGATGTCAATGGTAACAGCAACTACCACAATGACGGTCACTGTAACATCAGTGTCAGTTGACCAGTGATGTCAATGGTAATGGCAACTACCACAAAGACGGTCACTGTAACATCAGTGTCAGTTGACCAGTGATGTCAATGGTAACAGCAACTACCACAACGACGGTCACTGTAACATCAGTGTCAGTTGACCAGTGATGTCAATGGTAACAGCAACTACCACAACGACGGTCACTGTAACATCAGTGTCAGTTGACCAGTGATGTCAATGGTAACAGCAACTACCACAACGACGGTCACTGTAACATCAGTGTCAGTTGACCAGTGATGTCAATGGTAACAGCAACTACCACAACGACGGTCACTGTAACACCAGTGTCAGTTGACCGGTGATGTCAATGGTAACAGCAACTACCACAACGATGGTCACTGTAACCAGGGTGTCAGTTGACCGGTGATGTCAATGGTAACAGCAACTACCACAACGATGGTCACTGTAACATCAGTGTCAGTTGACCTGTGATGTCAATGGTAATGGCAACTACCACAAAGACGGTCACTGTAACATCAGTGTCAGTTGACCAGTGATGTCAATGGTAACAGCAACTACCACAACGACGGTCACTGTAACATCAGTGTCAGTTGACCAGTGATGTCAATGGTAACAGCAACTACCACAACGACGGTCACTGTAACATCAGTGTCAGTTGACCAGTGATGTCAATGGTAACAGCAACTACCACAACGACGGTCACTGTAACATCAGTGTCAGTTGACCAGTGATGTCAATGGTAACAGCAACTACCACAACGACGGTCACTGTAACATCAGTGTCAGTTGACCAGTGATGTCAATGGTAACAGCAACTACCACAACGACGGTCACTGTAACATCAGTGTCAGTTGACCAGTGATGTCAATGGTAACAGCAACTACCACAACGACGGTCACTGTAACACCAGTGTCAGTTGACCGGTGATGTCAATGGTAACAGCAACTACCACAACGATGGTCACTGTAACATTAGTGTCAGTTGACCGGTGATGTCAATGGTAACAGCAACTACCACAACGATGGTCACTGTAACATCAGTGTCAGTTGACCTGTGATGTCAATGGTAACAGCAACTACCACAACGACGGTCACTGTAACATCAGTGTCAGTTGACCAGTGATGTCAATGGTAACAGCAACTACCACAACGACGGTCACTGTAACACCAGTGTCAGTTGACCGGTGATGTCAATGGTAACAGCAACTACCACAACGATGGTCACTGTAACCAGGGTGTCAGTTGACCGGTGATGTCAATGGTAACAGCAACTACCACAACGATGGTCACTGTAACATCAGTGTCAGTTGACCAGTGATGTCAATGGTAATGGCAACTACCACAAAGAGGCGGTCACTGTAACATCAGTGTCAGTTGACCAGTGATGTCAATGGTAACAGCAACTACCACAGCGACGGTCACTGTAACATCAGTGTCAGTTGACCAGTGATGTCAATGGTAACAGCAACTACCACAACGGCGGTCACTGTAACATCAGTGTCAGTTGACCAGTGATGTCAATGGTAACAGCAACTACCACAACGGCGGTCACTGTAACATCAGTGTCAGTTGACCAGTGATGTCAATGGTAACAGCAACTACCACAACGACGGTCACTGTAACATCAGTGTCAGTTGACCAGTGATGTCAATGGTAACAGCAACTACCACAACGACGGTCACTGTAACATCAGTGTCAGTTGACCAGTGATGTCAATGGTAACAGCAACTACCACAACGACGGTCACTGTAACACCAGTGTCAGTTGACCGGTGATGTCAATGGTAACAGCAACTACCACAACGATGGTCACTGTAACATTAGTGTCAGTTGACCGGTGATGTCAATGGTAACAGCAACTACCACAACGATGGTCACTGTAACATCAGTGTCAGTTGACCTGTGATGTCAATGGTAACAGCAACTACCACAACGATGGTCACTGTAACATCAGTGTCAGTTGACCGGTGATGTCAATGGTAACAGCAACTACCACAACGATGGTTACTGTAACATCAGTGTCAGTTGACCTGTGATGTTAATGGTAACAGCAACTACCACAACAATGGTCACTGTAACACCAGTGTCAGTTGACCGGTGATGTCAATGGTAACAGCAACTACCACAACGGTGGTCACTGTAACATCAGTGTCAGTTGGCCGGTGATGTCAATGGTAACAGCAACTACCACAAAGACGGTCACTGTAACATCAGTGTCAGTTGACCAGTGATGTCAATGGTAACAGCAACTACCACAACGACGGTCACAGTTACATCAACATAGGCTGTCATTGCCACATCAGAGAAGTCTATGTCAACAGTAAATACTACATTGATGGCCACGGTGATGTAGATGTTTGTGGTCAAAACAGACCATTGGTGTCAACGGTAACAGCAACTACATCATCAATGTTGGTGGCCTCTGCTACACAAGTATCAACATAGCAGTGATATCAACAGTAACAACAGCTAAAACATCAACAATAACAGTGCCATCAGTGATGCTGTCACTGATGCATTTGACAAGTGACCTCATTGGTAACAGCCACAACCAACATTGTTGCTGTTGGTCACTGCTGCAACAATACAAATAGTCAAAAGCAACTTCCACATCAATGGTCATAGTAAGATAGAAAGTCACCGGTCACCCACACCAGTGCCAAAACATGTAAGTAACGGTGACGCACACACAGAACACAAAACACACATTGATGCAAACAAATTGTGCAAATGATCTGCAGCTCCAACTGCTCTTTGGAATGTTTCCCCTAATTGTTCTTCTGTCACATCTTGTGAATGTCTCCACAGCCAAACAACGTCTAGTAGCATGCATTCAGTATATTCTTTATCTTATCTATTGACAAGCGTTATGCTACATCAATTTAATGGAAGATAAATATCCCATACATCAATACGTTTACTTTTTTCCAGTAAAACGTTTGCTTTTTTCACATGACACATGGCACATTAACCAGCTTCTAACAAACTTTATCAATATGTTCAGGCTCATAACTTCTATTAACTATTGAATTTCTATTTCATTGATGCTGTGTGGATTTCGATAACTGACCTAGCAGCTAACCAAGTTCTACTGGAAACTTGTGACTGACACTACAATGAATATCATCACATATACTATATAGCAATACAATCATAGCCAGATACGTTCGTACAGTATATATCAAAAGTGGTACATTTCAGTTCTCACGAAAATAAATATGCTAGGTAATAAATAATATATCAGTAGGGTTGCTTCTTTGCATTGGACGGATTTTGATGTTCTGTGCTTCAGACCAATTATCCTGCAAGATCATTTGGAGACTATATAAATATCCAACAGCCTATTCAGCCATGGTTGTAGAGTGAGTGAGTAAGTGAGTGAGTGAGTGAGTTTGGTTTTACGCCGCTTTTAGCAATATTCCAGTAATATCACGGCGGGGGACACCAGAAATGGGCTTAACACATTGTACCCATGTGGGGAATCGAACCCGGGTCTTCAGCGTGACGAGCGAACGCTTTAACCACCAGGTTACCCAACCGCCTGTAGTGTGAGTGAGTGTGTTGGGTTTAACACTGTTTTAACAGTATTCCAGTTATATTACAGCATGTCAGCTTAACGTGGGAGGAGGCCAGAAGTGATGCAAGTCTCAGACAATTACCAAACAAGCATGGTGCTGACAAACCTAGAACTACTCAGATCACAGGTTGCTGTTTCAACAAAGGGACACAACTCTGCAGAGGTAATTCTAGTGCCTTAGAAACTGGCTAGCTATTCTCGAAACATTCGTAGATCTAAGAACTTCTTAAGCCCATTCTTAACACACTGGCTACGATCAAAGTTAAGAATTCTTAGGGTTACGAACATTTCGAGAATAAGGGCCCTGGCCCTTATATGGTCGCAGAGTGAGTGAGTGAGTTTAGTTTTACGCCGCTTTTAGCAATAGTCAAGCAATATCGCATTGGGGGACACCAGAAATGGTCTTCACAGGTTGTACCCACGTGGGGAATCGAACCCGGGTTTTCAGCATAATGAGCAAATGCATTAACCACTAGGCTAACCCACTGCCCCTTATATTGTTGCAGAGGTTTTGCAGGCACAACCAGCTGGATACACAATGCACGTATACTCATCTGTTTACTCACTTGTTTAACATTTGGCTTTTAGCTGTGTACTTTTAGGGGCAGACATTAAATTAACAGATATATACAGACATGTACAAAACAAACATACAGCTTTATGGGCACATGCCTTACATTCATACACTGGGCACCTGTTACAAAATACATTATATATACAGATCTTTGTGAGCATGTGCCACTATATAATCTTCCCTCAGCCACTGGGCATGGAGAGATGTAAATAAAACTCAAGACAATATAATAATACTGTTCCAAAACTGTTGCTTACACCAGCAATGACAACTTATTGGCTTGTGGGTCCAACACATTCAACACACAGACACGTCCAGGGCACGGATTCTGGACACAAGGAATGTATATAACATAATCAGATGTAAATGCCACACAGGAATATATAGTTGGAGTCAGTTAACACCTCAAATTCAACCGTCTACCAGAGACATGGCGCCACATATTAGTCAGAAGAACACATGGAGTTGATGGCGACATGGTGCCTGATGGTGACATGGTGCCTTGTTGGCAACATACATGTACAGTGACTGGCAATGGTGTAACTGTTGTTACTGTATCTGCTGACAGAAATTGGTGCCACCCCCGTTGGTAACACATGTAGATAAAAACTGGCGACAGGCGACCTTCATGCATATCCACCAATCAGGAAGTCGCTATTGTAAAACAATGAAACTAATTAAAACTTAATGAACTATACACAACTCAACCCTAGATGAATCAGTGAAGAAATAAAAACATGTATTTTATGGAATGATGCGTTTAAAAGGTTCCCTGGCAATCTAACCAGTTTAGATCTCAACCAGGTTGAATGTGATATTGAGGTTCAGCCTTCAGTGAAAATAGTCATACATGACATATCCCTTTGCTTCACCACGTTATGTACAAATACAAGTGGCACCGTGGCATCACTAAGGATCAGATGGTGCTCTGTTGAATAACACACAGTGCAACATGATGCTCTTCATATGTACAAAGGTTGCAGTCTGACTCGACTCCTTTGCCTTGTGGCTCCCTCTCCCTGCCAGTTCCGTCTATGTACACACAGATCTCAGACACTCAAGTCTTTTTACTCTGAATGGCCGCCAGCCCACTGGCGCGCTGATGGTTCCGAATGACTGTGTGTAGCTGCCGAAGCTAGCTTTGTGTGCTCCTGTAGATGGGTTGTTGACTGCATTGCTGAACTGCTTGCGGCCATACACAGGCTTGGGACGGGGGTTGGATGCTGAGGAGGGCCGCTGTCCTGGAACCTGCGTACAAGTCAGAGAGGTAAGTTTGTTTTTGGTTTTTATGTTGCTGTGTAATATCATCTTGATCATAGCTATATGACGGTGACCGAAAATATTTAAATTGGCCATACAAACCAGACTGACTGACTGAGTTTTGGTTTTACTCCGCTTTTAGCAATATTCAAGCAACATCACGGCGGGGGACACCAGAAATGGGCTTAACACATTGTACCCATGTGGAGATTCAAACCCGGGTCTTCAGCTTGACGAGCCAACGCTTTAACTACTAGGCTACCCCACCGCCCCCATACAAACCAGAGACACTATTAAGCAACAAAGCTGTTAGTGGACAGGGTATGCAGTCAACCAAGTGATCTAGTCAACCAAGTGATCTGGTCAAACAAACCTTAAGCTGATGAGGGGTGGTGGGGTAGCCTAGTGGTTAAGTGTTCATTTGTCATGGGTTTGATTCCCCATAGGGGTACAATGCGTGAAACCCATTTCTAGTGTCCCTAATGATATTACTTTAATATTGCTAAAAGTAGTGTAAAAATAAACTCTCTCACTTAAGTTGACAACAATTAAGGTTGATAACAGTGGGAGGAGATATGCATCAAGTGATGATGACAAAAGGATAATTACAGTGGGAAATATCCAAGTGATTAGTGTGGTTGATGACGTATCATCATGGAGCTAACATGCAATCATCATTGACACTCCAGTATATTACGTCTCCAATCCAACACCTTGAATCCATCTCTACTACCACAGCTTAATCTCCATCATGCTTATCTCTAACATGGCTAAGCTATCCAACATGTTGAATGTCATGAATATTTATTCTAGCACGACATTGTGTGATACTCGATTCTGATTGGCTGAGAGCTCATCAAAACCGTATTTAAATTGGCAGTTTAAGACTGCTAATTAAATTGACCGATTCACCACATATGAATACATTGAACTCGTTGACCCTATTTTGTTCATTACACAACCAGTCCCTCAACGGGACGATTCCAAGCGATTTTCAGGAAAAAGGCCCCTTCACGCCTTGTGTTCTTGCACACCAAATAGTTTGGTTTTAAAACGCTTATCAGTCGTGCTAGAATGAAGATAAAGCTACTCTGTTTTCAATTTTGCGGTCCTTTATTGTTGATTTAAGACCGCTAAATGTTTCATTTAAAACCTCTCGCTGTCGCGTTCAGTTTTTAAATACAATTAGCGGTCATAAATCAATGATAAAGGACCGCAAAATTGAAAACAGAGTACCTTTATCTTCTAATTCCTTGAGAAATTTATCATAATTTAGGTTCTAAAAGGTTTCCTTAGCAATGGCATTAATTTATTAAAATATATTTCAATACAATATTGATTTATAACTATCTGATTCCCTTTTCATAAAATCATTTCAGTTTTTAATAAATAAGGTTTTTCCTCATAAATCAAAAATATTCAAACAATAATGCCTTATAATTATTTTTCCTAAAAATCAATATACACTTATTTTCTATTTCAAATCAAAGAACGTCAATTGATTCTATAAGTTCAGTAGAGTGCGGGAGAAAAATTTCAGAGCAATAATTCGATAAATTTATGCCATCCTCAATCCATCATCATAAGAATCAATAACAAATATGGAGCTGTATGCAACATTTACCACAGACCTTCTAATATTTTAGGGGTGGTTCAGTCAGTATTGAGATCTTTCAACACATTCTGATGATAGCCAAATTGAACTTGGAAAAGAATTTGTTGTCTTGAAGAATCATATGAACATGTTTGAACACCACAACATGGTTTTGCTGACTGTCACAGCGGGCCCAGATGACCTATATCTTCTTGATGATTCTCAGTTTTGAGGCTTTATCTCGGAAAAGGGTGGTTTTAAAACCGCTTTATCTAGTGCACTTTAAGCCATATCAGCAAGGAAACTTAACATGAAAATCAACTCATTGTTGGTTCCTGTGTGTGAAAATGTTCATAAATATGTTAGAGACAAAACATAAACTATACAGCTTGCAGATTACACAGTTCATCGTACATAATCTCAATTATCAAGTTGATGATTTGCTTTCCTACATTTGGCAGAATTCATTCAAAGAGGCTTACCATTCGTGAGCTTGTGACTGTCAGCCCCCAACCCCCCTGTCGCTCCTCCCAACCCCGGGTTATCACAGGGTTTCTGAAGGCACCAGATATTGGACGACCTTGACCCCGAGTCACTGCTGGGGCTGATGCTTGACGGTTCTTCTGGTTTTGCTGGATTGGAGGATATGCATCCTGTACAAAAGTTTATAATTAACAGTAATCTTTTCCTGAGGCTTCAACATTTTTATAACACATATTTGATCATGTAACTGTGAAAATGTTGACTCTTTTCCAATAGATATGCTATTGCATCAAATTCTGATGTTACACCAATACAGAAAATAAGGGTGATTCTTAAACTGGTGCAATCTTTCACAAACGATAGTAATTCCATTCACTTCCATAGTTGAAGTATGATTAACCTGTCATTTATTGTCCAGGGCCTAGATTTTCTAAGCTCTCTTAACGCGAAGACAGTTGTAAGTTAATGTTAATGTGTGGGACTTACGACTATCTTAGCGCTAAGAGTTCTTTGAAAATCTAGGCCCTGAAGTGCAAACTACAGGGAAAACTTTCTTGGATGGAAAACACGCATCTCACATCACATGTTTCTAAACAAGTATGGTTTATTTCTGAATTGTTTACAAACAACTACCAGTAGCAACATCTGTTAAACAGAGGACAAAGTTAATGGTACAGGGTCTAAAGGGTCTAAGAAGAAGTGGTGGTAGTTGGGAGAGAAGAGGCCTGCTAGATGGCTAGTGAAGACTTACCTACCCTCTGATGGCAATGGTTTTGAACATTGCTTAAAACGCCTGGGAATTTGTCACAAGAAAGCATGTAAACTATTGGTGAGTGAGACAGGGGACCTACACTCATACGCCAGGAACTATTGCTGAGTGAAAGGACCTACACTGGTTGGGACAGAGGACCTAAACTATTGGTGGAATGACCTACACTGGCTCGGACTTAAGGACTTACATGGATGTTGAAAGAGATGGGGAAACTTAACCATTGTAATTGTTAATGATATGCATTGTGACTCGAATTTGAATGTACTTGCAGTCTAAGACAAGTGTGCTTTATCACGTCATGTCATTTCTATGACAAGTCGAGAAACAATTTTTACCAAGTGTTTGTACAAGCAACTTATTTATGTAATGTATACAAATTCAAGAAAGTTACGACGGACCATACAATGTTAGAATCTTTAGCACTGTATTACATTCTATTCTATTATAATGACTTGACTATACTTAAACAAACACACACACCCCTACCCCTACCCCACCCCACCCCAGGGCTGGAGGCCTTTGATACTGAATAAAGAATCTTGAAAGAGATAGGGCTTACATGGATGTGTAAAAAGACAGTGACCTACATTCTACTGAGAGAGAAAATTGGGTGTGCTTAAATTACTGCTGAGACAAGGAGGACTTACATTGGCGGCGACAGAGTGTTGCTGCCCATTTAGATAGTCCAGACTACGCTGTCTCATCAGGGCCTTCTGCTGAGCTTCATGGGAGGTTGTTCGACCAAATGCAACATCTGTAAGGTAATTTAGATAAATGACATTTACAAACAGAGATTAACAATACAACTATTTAAATGCTGCATAATAATTGTAGTACAGATGAAAGATATCCATAAAATTCCTATCGGCACCATCAGAGGGTCAGTGAAGACTGAGATATATATTTACTTGTGAAGGAGGAGTGATGTCGGTTGTCAACAAGGCCTCCCCTGGATGCAGACTTTGGGGAGGGTCCGGACACGTTCTCCTTCATGGCAGGGTCTGGTTGTGGAGGGGAAAGGTTGCTGCTGGAGTCCCCGGCAGCCATCAATGTCTGTTGCTGCTGCTGCAGCTGTCTTTGCTGTGCACTCCGTGATTCTTCCCTTCGGCGCCGGCGCCGCTCTGCCTTCTTCTGCATGATCATCTACAATGATCAAGGAGGTGATGCCTCATAATCGTACAACAATACAGGAAAAAAAACACATTACACTCTTTCTTCTGTTGGAAACTGAACTGGGTTTACCACTGCCATTAACATTATTACAGTTACGTATAGTGTGACCCCTGTCGCTTGACCACTCTACTAGCCTTCAATATCAATGCTAATTTATATACCCCATCTATAACACGATCCTGAATGAAGTACATCATCAGAGCATACATGATCCCTAAATTTGTAACAAAAACAAACTTACGTCACAATATTTTCCTATATGAAGGTTGGTCTTGTAAAATTCCTGCACATGGTGCCATTTTGTATGTTGACATGGTGTAAGGACAAATTGGTGACAGTAAAAATGTTCATCTAATTTCTGAAGTAAGTTAGTTGAAGACAGTAAATTTCTGTAATTAAATTCGACATTTATCTCTGTTTCAACCTACTAGGCTTAATTTTGTCTCAACTATGAGGTGAACATCTTCCTTAGACCATGTCAGACTCCAAACACTGTTTATTGTTCAGTCATTCTAAGACTTCAGCCACAGTCAGTAATACAGCAGCTATATAATGGAATCTTGCTAATAATCCAGTATTGTCTTAGTGGTTGATATTAAGATTTTCCACACTGATCGGTTATGGAGAGGCTAAAAACACCAGCAACAGACTGGTCGGTTCAAGAGTCCAATGTTACTCCTTAGGCCTAAAAATTTTTTGTTGTGGTTCCGATTACCCAACCGACCCTTGAATTCTGTGCTGACCCTTTTTTTTTTAAAAGGTATGAATAAAATAAGTTTTCAGATACCATTGTTTTTTCCCGGCACCAACGAACATTGGTCATTCTGATAGAGAAAGTCGATGGCCGCAAGCTTGATTGAAGAAACAAGTACACATTAATAAATGTGTTATTAGTTCGTACTTTACTTCTAAAAAAAAAGATGTAAAAAAAATGTAATTTTTGGAGTAAAATTGATATTTTATACTTATCCTGACTCATGCTCTTTTTGCTTGTCTTCTTCTTCTTGCGAACATAGTGGAACACTTGTATCTCCCTAATTGAAGCTCCCTTCAATTTAAAATCACTAATTAGTATTCACCACGAGTTACCTCCTTTCCACAAGCGCGGGAACGAGGGCGCCACCTCTACCCATGTGCCTCACTCTCTCCTCATATACTGAGCCCAACATTTGAATTTACAGGGAAATCCAAAGTGTTATTTGGGGAGGATGGGAGGGCTGACCTCATGAGTCAGGATAAGTATAAAATATCAATTTTACTCCAAAAATTACATATTTTTCCTTATCCTGACTCATGCTCTTTTTGCTTGTAGCATCCTACGGAACGGAGGTGGGAATATCTAATACTTTGGATTTTTAATAATTAGTGATTTGAACTGTGATGATTGTAATAACCCTATGGGAACTTCATAAAGGCACTGAACTGATGAATTCCTGCTGCTAACTTATCAGCTGCCATATAAAGGTTATTACCATGTACTTATTATGATAAAGTATATATAACATTAATACAATGCTTAAGACTAATAGACTTAAGCTTGTTAATATGCTAGTATAAACTCCTTAGAGTTTGTTAGCTAAAATACTTTAAGATATAACATAGTACTAAGCTTAAGATATGATTAAACTTAAGCTAATTATATAATAGCAAACTCTTTAGAGTTTGTTAGTTAATATACTTATATGATATAGATATAATGCTGAGCTTAAGATATGAATAAGCTTTAGCTACATATATAATAGCAAAAACTCTGTAGAGTTTGTTAGCTAATATATTTTATAATATGAGTATAGTACTGTGCTTAAGCTATAATTAACTTAAGCTACATATATAATAGCCAAACTCTGTAGAGTTTGTTAGCTAATATATTTTTATAATATGAGTATAGTACTGTGCTTAAGCTATAATTAACTTAAGCTACATATATAATAGCCAAACTCTGTAGAGTTTGTTAGCTAATATATATTTATAATATTAGTATAGTACTGAGCTTAAGATATAATTAACTTAAGCTACATATATATAGCAAAACTCTGTAGGGTTTTGTTAGCTAATATATTTTACAATATGAGTATAGTAGTGTGCTTAAGATATAATTAACTTAAGCTACATATATAATAGCAAAACTCCGTAGAGTTTGTTAGCTAATATATTTTACAATATGAGTATAGTAGTGTGCTTAAGATATAATGAACTTAAGCTACATATATAATAGCAAAACTCCGTGAGAGTTTGTTAGCTAATATATTTTACAATATGAGTATAGTATTGTGCTTAAGATATTATTAACTTAAGCTACATATATAATAGCCAAAAACTCTGTAGAGTTTATTAGCTAATATGTTTATAGTGTAACCATAGTACTAAGCTTAAGATAAGATTAGACTTAAGCTAAATGTATATAGCAAAATAAACTCCTTAGAGTTTATTAACTAATATACTTTTATGTTAAAAACATAGTACTGAGCTTAAGTTATGATGAAACTTAAGCTATATATATATAATAACAAAACTCCATTAGGTTTTGTTAGCTAATACCTTTATAATGTAAACATACTGCTTAAGATATGATGAAAACTTAAGCTAATTGTATAATGGCGAAAACAACCCTTTAGAGTTTGTTAGCTATGATATAAACCTAGTATTGAGCTTATGAAGGAAAACTTAAGCTACATATATAATAGCAAGAACTCCGTAGAGTTTGTTAGCTAATACATGTTATAATGTAACCATAAAGCTTAAAATATGATGAAACTTAAGCGAAATATATAATAGCAAAACCCTCTTTTAGAGTTTTGATAGCTAATATACCTATATGATATAAACATAGTACTGCGCTTAAGATATGAATAAGCTTAAGTTACATATATAATAGCTAAAACTCTGTAGAGTTTGTTAGCTAATACATGTTATAATATAACCATATTGCTTAGAAATATGATGATACTTAAGCCAAATAGCAAAAACTCTTTAGAGTTTGTTAGCTAATCTACTTATATGATATAAACATAGTACTAAGCTTAAGATATGAATAAGCTTAAGCTACCTATATAATAGCAAAACTCCTTAGAGTTTGTTAGCCAATATATTTTAATAATATGAGTATAGTACTATGCTTAAGGTATAATTAGCTTAAGTTACCTATATAATAGTAAAACTCCGTTAGAGTTTGTTAGCTTAATTAACTTAAGCTATGTATAAAATAGCCAAAAAACTCTGTAGAGTTTGTTAGCTAATGCATTTATCATGTAACCATAGTATTACTCTTAAGATATGAATAACTTAAGGTAAATATATATAATAACAAACTCTGTAGAGTTGTTAACTTATATATTGTATGATGTAATAATCATAGTACTGTGATGATAAAAGGAACTTAAGTAAATTATATATAGCATGAAGCTATTTAGTATTGTTATAAGATAAGTAAAAATCTGTTAGATTGACTTATCTTCTCGAGAACTGTCAGCTGTTGTCACGAGGACCATGGGATCGAATTGGTGTATACCTGAGGCGTCCTCGGTGGTGATATCTCTCAGATAATGGTTTGCAACCACCATATCGGTTCAGAAATAAACCCTCCATTATTTCAATCACATTTGTGTAGAACAATTGTAGAAGTTAAGCTATAATATCATGAGTATTAAGCTCATGGAGGGTCGGAATAGGTCCATCCGCATATGCACGTAGTATGACAGTTCTGATCCAAATGGAGATATAGTACATGAGACTTCACTCTATAAGTTGATGATAGAGGAAATAATCTGTTGCATTTTTCCTCCTGTTTGGTTTGGTGGAGATAAATTTACAGTGCTCTTGCTGGCCATCTTGATAGAATCATCGTATCATGGGGTCCAAGTATGTCATCAAGGCGTGTTCATAAACCTCACTTGTGAGGTGTTGGAAGCACTATATTCATATCCCAGGTTGGTGTGAAATTTCCGTTTATTCTCCAAACAGAAGTTTAGTAGGTTTACTAACCATCTAGTTGTGTTAGTTAAACAGATGAAATTCAGCTGTAGTCTGAAGCGCTGTGGATTTAGATCCACTTGTATCTTTCGTCTAGGTAATTAAGCTCTTGAAGTCCTTGGCGATGTAGGTGCACAACCAGGTGTGTCTGTCCTCGTTGAACTTTATGTAAAATCGCCTGACTGCCGATCCCTCGTCTTAACTTGACAGGGGAGGTCTCTAACTGAAAGAAAGGCAGTCTAATCATGAATGTTCAGGTTAACTGGACTGTAATGAGGCTTGCTTTCGTTCACTGATATATAGTTGTCACTTGTGGCGTAAGTCTTGAACTGTGAATTGAGATCGACCTCTGTGTAGGTCGTTGTCCCTCAGCGGTCCAATCAGAACAAGGCATTTTGATTCTGTATAATACCAGCTGTGATGTCACGGTGTAGCGGGAAAAACCCACCTTGAATAAATTCTTGTAAAATTAGTTGATATTAGCATAAGCGTCGGTCTTCACCGTAGCTTCGAAGTTATCCGAGTGACCGTGTTTGAGGGTTAATGGTAATCGTAGCGAAAACCTCCGGTATGAAATATCTCGCTCTGTAATTTTATGCTGGGTAGGTTATTTTCCTGGTTGTCGTGAAAGTAATTTCAGTTTTGAATATAATTCCGACTTCCTTATATATAGGGTATAAACAACTTGCAAGTTGTGAGCTTGTAGACTGTATACATGAATGTATCGTCATAATTGTAGAATTAACGTTGAACTTGTTGTACATATTTCTTCTCAGAAACTTTGGCGATTAAGAGTTATACTACGCTGTAACAAGGCTGCTGTTCAATTTCGATATTGAATTGTCTGCAGATATCGCGTAATGGTCACGCATGTAGATAATCGTATCGTCGTCGGGATTGTATATTAGCAATTTATCTGACGAATAGTTGATTTCTGTGAAGATCTATGAAATGTCGTTGACTAATAATACAGCGGCGTTCTGTGTTGTAAATAGCCTGAGCAATTATCTTAGCGTAGGCTTATAGGCGGCATCTGGCATACAGTTGATAATCAACTTATCACGGCGTCTTGAAACGGACTGACGAGTAGCTATATATGGCGAGTGGCTAGTATATGGAAACCTTGGAGGAGACTTCCTCGGTGAGCGCCGGAGACTTGGCGAAGTTCTCGAAGTATCCCTTCTAGATCTTCTGGGTGAAGTAGACTTGGAGCCACTTAGCCTTAGCGACCATCGCGAAGGTGTCGAGTCAAAGCCGATTAGTATATATATATATATATAAATATATATATGGCTTTGCTTCGTGAACAGCCTCTGTGTTTAACAGGATGTGGGATCGGCGGCGCTTGCTAAAATAGGGAGCGCATGGATCATCTTATCATATTCAGAAGTGGTATTCACGAAGTCTGGTGATAAGTGTCTAATTGATCGTTCTAGATCTATTTAGGCCAGCGAACATCGTCTCGTCATGGATTCAACAGAACCAATATCGATTGTAGTTCTTATACTTGATATCGATGATCAACTTGTCTATGGGTTGATCTTCGAGAGACTTGTGAGGGGAGCGTTGATAGTTTAGCGAAGCTCTTGTATAGTCCCTCGATGTCCTTCTAGATGATGATGATCTGGATTCAGGTGTCCTTGGCGCCTTCGCGAAGCTTCCTCTGCGTCGGTCCGGAGACGACGATATGACCTTCGCGAAGGCTTCCGTGATGTCTGATGGTCGAGTCCACATCTAGGGATGAAACCGCAAAGGTGATGATCTATCCTGCCTTCGCGAAGTCCTTCGCGAAGGCTGTACATCTAGGTTCTTTCCGCCCGCGAAGGCTGTACATCTAGGTCCTTTCCGCCGAGCGAAGGCCTTCCGCGAAGGCTGTACATCTAGGTCCTTCGTCAAGGTGGTCCGTGACTTCCTTGCGAAGGTGACATCGTCCTGGCTGCTACGTTGGCGGGGGTGCCTCTGGGGTGCTGTCTACGTTGGAGCCTTCGAAAAACTTCGGACCCTGCTACCGCAGATATAGTGGTCCTCCATGATGTTCATAATTTGTCGCATCATGTCTTCTGGGATGGTCTGCGGCGAAGTGCGTCGATTGCTTTATCTGCGGTGTTAATGGAGGGGTCCACGGAAAATCGTCCGACATCAGTGTAGAGGCATCAGGCTGCATGGTGATCTCTGCTGATGTCGTTGTAGCTAATCACCGGTCGTTTCTTGTGGCGTGCGTCGGGGATGATGATCAGCTGATCATCGTAGAGGTCCAGGTCATCGGCTGGAACAATCTCGGTTGAGAAAGTCCTAGTAGACTTCGTTGATTTTCCCTCAGAGGTCGGCGCTGCCCTGGGTGTCGCGGCGTCTGCGTTGAGTGTTGGTAATGATGGGACCCTCAGGGCGATCATAGCATATCTCGCGTTGGTACATCAGGCTGCATGCTGATCTGTGCCGACATCGGTCAATCTTTGATGTACATCTGGTATGATGACCGGCTGATCATCATACAGGCCCAAACTTCGCGATGGGAGCGGTCTCGGCTGTTGAGATGTAGTAGAAAAACCCTCTAGTCTTCTGCTGCGGCGATGGGATGTCTGGGGAAGCAGGATGCTTCTTGGAGATGGCGGACTCGTCCACACCTCTCCACCACTCTAGCGGAACACCACCGCGGGAGAATTGACCAACAGCAGTAGACTGGCGAGGGTTCGGTGTATCAGTCATACTAGACTCTGCATCGCGACCTATCTGCTGTGGCGTGCCAAGCGCCAAAGTAAATATTAATAAAAGGTAGAATTGGATAAATTAGTACGCAACTGCAATGTGAATATAATAAACATGGCCGTTACATCATATTAAAGGCGGATCAGCAGCAGCATAAAAAGCGTAATCTGCAATAGTACAGAATTTTCATCAGCGTAATCCACTGAAACAAACCACGGCGTCCATTGAATAAACTGTAGAAAAGCGACTAAATATCAATATATAATCGTTGAAGGATACTAGCTAAACCTCTATAGATGTCTATCACGAGGTAACTAACTAAATATAATTCAAAGGATATAGTGTGTCGGGGAGACACAGAGCTCTCACGTCCAGCTCACTGGAAGAAGAAGGAGGAGAGTGAGGCACATGGGTAGAGGTGAAGCCCTCGTTCCAGCTTGTGGAAAGGAGGTAACTTCGTGGTGAATACTAATTAGTGATTTTAAATTGAAGGGAGCTTCAATTAGGGAGATACAAGTGTTCCACTATGTTACAAGAAGAAGAAGACAAGCAAAAGAGCATGAGTCAGGATAAGGAAAAATAATGTGCAGTTGGAATAGTTTATGAAATCATTGGAAAAAACATGTTTTGGAGTTGAATACTCCTCGACAAGATTCCTAGGAAATGTTGACTATAAGACATGGTGATTAGTTTCTGTAATATTATTGTTTATGTTGTTCCACTTGGCAAGATTTATCAAACTGTACAAATACCTTTCTACATATGGGTGCCGCACTGCCTCATCGGCTGTGATGCGTTTGTCGGGGTTAAAGTGCAAGAGGCGAACAAGGTCAATGGCCTCTGGGGACTTTCTGGCAACATGTCTTCCAGTCTTCGTTTTGGTCTGCAACCATGGCAACACAGAAATATATAATTGCAGAATACAGAACTGTAGATTTACATGTCTAGGATACAAGAAAGCATAATCTGACAATGAGCTGCAGAGTTTAATCTTATGATCAACAGTGAACTTTTGAGACGGTCCCAAAGGGACATAACTCTGCAGAACAAATTACAGCTGATGACTGACTCCAGTAAGGATTTACTCAATGCTTTAATATAATTTGTCTGAATCTACATATCTGATCCAAATGAAGATAACCTAGGTTAGAAAATCTAAACAGGAGGGTTAAAGCAGAAAGTTGCTTATGATCTGAGACACTGTTTTACAACCAGAACTAGGTGTAGTCTCACCTCATAGCGGCTTTCTCCAACACAGATGACCCGTATGCTGACTTGATGCTCTCAATGTCTGCAAGTAAAACATGAGAAGCATTACTACACCAGAAGGTGTACCTCACCTGCTGGACGGACTTCTGCCTCATGGCCACCAGTGTCACGCACATACATGCATCAAGAAAACAACTGGCCACTTCTCTGGAAAATAGACCTCTTGCAGCTAGTGTAGGCAGAGACAAACTTTTTATGTAAACATTCAGCAGTCAAGGGCGATGAAAACTTGTCATGTGTCATAAGATGAGATTTAATGAGATTAACAGATTCTCTGCAGTTCATAGCCAATGCTAGCCATGATCACTCGAGAGAGGTACCCTTGTGTTTTGTTAACAGTCACCATTTTGCAACAATATTTTCAAAATTTTGTATACAAGTGTCTTTTGAATATATTTAAGATATACCTTATATAATGTAATTTTTAAAAACTCAGAGTAAAATTGATATTTTATACTTATCCTGACTCATGCTCTCGAGGGCAAATTTGCTTGTCTTCTTCTTCTTCTTCTTCTTGAACATAGTGGAACACTTGTATCTCCCTAATTGAAGCTCCTTCAATTTAAAATCACTAATTAGTATTCACCACGAAGTTACCTCCTTTCCACAAGCTGAACAAGGGCTTCACCTCTACCCATGTGCCTCACTCTCTCCTCATATACTGAGCCCAACATTTGAATTTACAGGGAAATCCAAAGTGTTATTTGGGAGGATGGGAGGGCTGACCTCATGAGTCAGGATAAGTATAAAATATCAATTTTACTCCAAAATTACATATTTTTCCTTATCCTGACTCATGCTCTTTTGCTTGTAGCATCCCACGGAACGGAGGTGGGAATATCTAATACTTTGGATTTTTAATAATTAGTGATTTGAACTGTGATGATTGTAATAACCCTATGGGAACTTCATAAAGGCACTGAACTGATGAATTCCTGCTGCTAACTTATCAGCTGCCATATAAAAGGTTATTACCATGTACTTATTATGATAAAGTATATATAACATTAATACAATGCTTAAGACTAATAGACTTAAGCTTGTTAATATGCTAGTATAAACTCCTTAGAGTTTGTTAGCTAAAATACTTTAAGATATAACATAGTACTAAGCTTAAGATATGATTAAACTTAAGCTAATTATATAATAGCAAACTCTTTAGAGTTTGTTAGTTAATATACTTATATGATATAGATATAATGCTGAGCTTAAGATATGAATAAGCTTTAGCTACATATATAATAGCAAAAAAACTCTGTAGAGTTTGTTAGCTAATATATTTTTATAATATGAGTATAGTACTGTGCTTAAGCTATAATTAACTTAAGCTACATATATAATAGCCAAACTCTGTAGAGTTTGTTAGCTAATATATTTTTATAATATGAGTATAGTACTGTGCTTAAGCTATAATTAACTTAAGCTACATATATAATAGCCAAACTCTGTAGAGTTTGTTAGCTAATATATATTTATAATATTAGTATAGTACTGAGCTTAAGATATAATTAACTTAAGCTACATATATAATAGCAAAACTCTGTGAGTTTGTTAGCTAATATATTTTACAATATGAGTATAGTATTGTGCTTAAGATATTATTAACTTAAGCTACATATATAATAGCCAAAAAACTCTGTAGAGTTTATTAGCTAATATGTTTATAGTGTAACCATAGTACTAAGCTTAAGATAAGATTAGACTTAAGCTAAATGTATATAGCAAAATAAACTCCTTAGAGTTTATTAACTAATATACTTTTATGTTAAAAACATAGTACTGAGCTTAAGTTATGATGAAACTTAAGCTATATATGTATAATAACAAAACTCCATTGGGGTTTGTTAGCTAATACCTTTATAATGTAAACATACTGCTTAAGATATGATGAAAACTTAAGCTAATTGTATAATAGCCAAAACAACCCTTTAGAGTTTGTTAGCTATGATATAAACCTAGTATTGAGCTTATGAAGGAAAACTTAAGCTACATATATAATAGCAAGAACTCCGTAGAGTTTGTTAGCTAATACATGTTATAATGTAACCATAAAGCTTAAAATATGATGAAACTTAAGCTTAAATATATAATAGCAAAACCCTCTTTTAGAGTTTTGATAGCTAATATACCTATATGATATAAACATAGTACTGCTTTTAAGATATGAATAAGCTTAAGTTACATATATAATAGCTAAAACTCTGTAGAGTTTGTTAGCTAATACATGTTATAATATAACCATATTGCTTAGAAATATGATGATACTTAAGCCAAATAGCAAAAACTCTTTAGAGTTTGTTAGCTAATCTACTTATATGATATAAACATAGTACTAAGCTTAAGATATGAATAAGCTTAAGCTACCTATATAATAGCAAAACTCCTTAGAGTTTGTTAGCCAATATATTTTAATAATATGAGTATAGTACTATGCTTAAGGTATAATTAGCTTAAGTTACCTATATAATAGTAAAACTCCAGAGTTTGTTAGCTTAATTAACTTAAGCTATGTATAAAATAGCCAAAAACTCTGTAGAGTTTGTTAGCTAATGCATTTATCATGTAACCATAGTATTACTCTTAAGATATGAATAACTTAAGGTAAATATATATAATAACAAACTCTGTAGAGTTGTTAACTTATATATTGTATGATGTAATAATCATAGTACTGTGATGATAAAAGGAACTTAAGTAAATTATATATAGCATGAAGCTATTTAGTATTGTTATAAGATAAGTAAAAATCTGTTAGATTGACTTATCTTCTCCGAGGAACTGTCAGCTGTTGTGCGAGGACCATGGGATCAGTTGGTGTATACCTGAGACGTCCTCGGTGGTGATATCTCTCAGATAATGGTTTGCAACCACCATATCGGTTTCCAGAAATAAACCCTCCATTATTTCAATCACATTTGTGTAGAACAATTGTAGAAGTTAAGCTATAATATCATGAGTATTAAGCTCATGGAGGGTCGGAATAGGTCCATCCGCATATGCACGTAGTATGACAGTTCTGATCCAAATGGAGATATAGTACATGAGACTTCACTCTGCGTGTAAGTTGATGATAGAGGAAATAATCTGTTGCATTTTTCCTCCTGTTTGGTTTGGTGGAGATAAATTTACAGTGCTCTTGCTGGCCATCTTGATAGAATCATCGTATCATGGGGTCCAAGTATGTCATCCAGGCGTGTTCATAAACCTCACTTGTGAGGTGTTGGAGCACTATATTCATATCCCCAGGTTGGGCGTGAAATTTCCGTTTTATTCTCCAAACAGAAGTTTAGTAGGTTTACTAACCATCTAGTTGTGTTAGTCGCTTGATGAAATTCAGCTGTAGTCTGAAACGCTGTGGATTTAGATCCACTTGTATCTTCGTCTAGGTAATTAAACCGCGAAGTCCTTGACGATGTAGGTGCACAACCAGGTGTGTCTGTCCTCGTTGAACTTTATGTAAAATCGCCTGACTGCCGATCCCTCGTCTTAACTTGACAGGGGAGGTCTCTAACTGAAGAAAGGCAGTCTAATCATGAATGTTCAGGTTAACTGGACTGTAATGAGGCTTGCTCTCGTTCACTGATATATAGTTGTCACTTGTGACGTAAGTCTTGAACTGTGAATAGAGATCGCGACCTCTGTGTGGGTCGTTGTCCCTCATGATCCAATCAGAACAAGGCATTTTGATTCTGTATAATACCAGCTGTGATGTCACCGGTGTAGCGGAAAAAACCCACCTTGAATAAATTCTTGTAAAGCTGATTGATATTAGCATAAGCGTCGGTCTTCACCGTAGCTTCGAAGTTATCCGAGTGACCACGTGTTTCGAGGTTAATGGTAACGTGCTGAAACCTCCGGTAAAATATCTCGGCTCTGTAATTTTATGCTGGGTAGGTTATTTTCCTGGTTGTCGTGAAAATAATTTCAGTTTTGAATATAATTCCGACTTCCTTATATATAAGGGTATAAACAACTTGCAAGTTGTGAGCTTGTAGACTGTATACATGAATGTATCGTCATAATTGTAGAATTAACGTTGAACTTGTACATATTTCTTCTCAGAAACTTTGACGATTAAGAGTTATACTACGCTGTAACAAGGCTGCTGTTCAATTTCGATATTGAATTGTCTGCAGATATGCGTAATGGTCACGCATGTAGATAATCGTATCGTCGTCCGGGATTGTATATTAGCAATTTATACGGAATAGTTGATTTCTGTGAAGATCTATGAAATGTCGTTGACTAATAATACAGCGGCGTTCTGTGTTGTAAATAGCCTGAGCAATTATCTTAGCATAGGCTTATAGGCGGCATCTGGCATACAGTTGATAATCAACTTATGCACGGCGTCTTGAACGGACTGGACGAGTAGCTATATATGGCGAGTGGCTGAGTATATGGAAACCTTGGAGGAGACTTCCTCGGTGAGCGCCGGAGACTTAGCGAAGTTCTCGAAGTATCCCTTCTAGATCTTCTGGGTGAAGTAGACTTGGAGTCACTTAGCCTTAGCGACCATCGCGAAGGTGTCGAATCAAAGCCCGATTAGTATATATATATATATATAAATATATATATGAGCTTGCTTCGTGTGAACAGCCTCTGTGTTTAACAGGATGTGGGATAAGTGCGATCTTCTAGCCTAAGGCCAGGGCCGCATGGATCATCTTATCATATTCAGATCAACTTGTCGTGTTGACGAAGTCTGGTGATAAGTGTCTAATTGATCGTTCTAGATCTATTTAGGCCAGCGAACATACGTCTCGTCATGGATTCAACAGAACCAATATCACGATTGTAGTTCTTATACTTGATATCGATGATCAACTTGTCTATGGGTTGATCTTCCTGCCTTGCCAGCGGAGACTTGTGAGAGGGAACGTTAATAGTTTCGCGCTTGAGGCTTAGGCCTTCGAAGGCTGTACATCTAGGTCCTTCGTCAAAGGTGGTCCGTGACTTCCTTCGCGAAGGTGACATCGTCCTGGCTGCTACGTTGACGGGGTGCCTCTGGGGTGCTGTCTACGCTGGAGCCTTCGCGAAACTCGGACCCTGCTACCGCAGATATTGGTCCTCCATGATGTTCATAATTTGTCGCATCATGTCTTCTGGGATGGTCTCGCGACGAGGTCATTCCGGTGCTTTATCTGCGGTGTTAATGGAGGGGTCCACCGAAAATCGTCATCGACATCAGTGTAGAGGCATCAGGCTGCATGGTGATCTCTGCTGATGTCGTTGTAGCTGTCACCGGGTCGCTTTCTTGTGGTGTACGCCGGGATGATGATCAGCTGATCATCGTAGAGGTCCAGGTCATCGGCTGGAACAATCTCGCTGAGAAAGTCCTAGTAGACTTCGTTGATTTTCCCTCAGAGGTCGGCGCTGCCCTGGGTGTGCGGCGCCTGCGTTGAGTGTTGGTAATGATGGGACCCTCAGAACGATCATCAGCATATCTGCGTTGGTACATCAGGCTGCATGCTGATCTGTGCCGACATCGGTCAATCTTTGATGTACATCCGTGTGATGACCGGCTGATCATCATACAGGCCCAAACTTCGATGGGAGCGGTCTCGTTGTTGAGATGTAGTAGATAAACCCTCTAGTCTTCTGCCTGCGACGATGGGATGTCTGGGGAAGCAGGATGCTTCTTAGAGATGGCGGACTCGTCCCCACACCTCTCCACCACTCTAGCGGAACACCACACGGGAGGGGAGTCGGCCAACAGCAGTAGACTGGCGAGGGGTTCCGTGTATCAGTCATACTAGACTCTGCATACAGCCACCTATCTGCTGCAATGCGTACAAACGCAAAGTAAATATTAATAAAAGGTAGAATTGGATAAATTAGTACCGCAACTGCAATGTGAATATAATAAACATGGCGCCGTACATCATATTAAAGGCGGATCAGCAGCAGCATAAAAACGTAATCTGCAATAGTACAGAATTTTCATCAACGTAATCCACTGAAACAAACACGGCGCCCCGTGACTAAACTGTAGAAAACGACTAAATATCAATATATAATCGCTGAAGGATACTAGCTAAACCTCTATAGATGTCTATACGAGGTAACTAACTAAATATAATTCAAAGGATATAGTGTGTCGGGAGACACAGGCGCTCTCACGTCCAGCTCACTGGGCGAAGAAGGAGAGAGTGAGGCACATGGGTAGAGGTGGCGCCCTCGTTCCCGCGCTTGTGGAAAGGAGGTAACTCGTGGTGAATACTAATTAGTGATTTTAAATTGAAGGGAGCTTCAATTAGGGAGATACAAGTGTTCCACTATGTTCGCAAGAAGAAGAAGACAAGCAAAAAGAGCATGAGTCAGGATAAGGAAAAATTATAAATTTTGTTGCTTGTCTTTTGTAAAATATGTTTCATAATATAAACGTTAAATTAAATTTAATCAGATATTTTGATCACAACTATTTACTTACTTAGTTAACGATCGATAAATTTGGGCCACGTGACACGACTTGAAAGAAAGTTTCACGTAAAGTAAACTTCTTAGTATTCTGTGGCAGTTTTGTGTGATGGTTTTGAAAAATACCTCTTAATAATTTAATAAATACTACAAATGATATTAATCAAGAAATTACATCGAAGTCAAATATCTGTGTCACTCGATCAGTCGCGGTTGTACAGTAGCGTTCGCTAAATGCATCCCACACAATGCGTGTTCCCAAGTGAACAGTTTTTGATACAAAAATATCATTTTGAAGCACGTTTACAGAAATATTTACACATCATAATTTCCGCATCAAACATATTTGAATCTAGTAACATTTATATGATGTGTTTTCAATGATAGTTGGTCTTTACACATACGCTCACTTTTTAAACAAAGTCGAAAAACATTTCACACAAACACAACCCTTCTTGGTTATGTAAGGCTTCTGTTGATTGGCCTTTCATTTTATCATTAACCAATCAGAAATCTGCTCTCAGAATAAACAAGTTTCAGGTATTGAACATGCTTGAACATGCTTTTACAAAAGATAACAAACATGTGTTTACGTTTGTCATGTTACAGTGTTGAACAGTCACGACGTTGATCTACCCAATACCGATACATACGGGGAAAGGGGTCGACTTATATTTGAGTTAGATGGTTTTGGCAAGAATTTAGAGGGTTGAGAAAGGGGCCCGACTTATAGTCAGATCCGACTTATAGTCGGTCATATACGGTAAACTTCTATATGTGAAACTATGTTCGGTATATAGGAGACTAACACAGATGGACCATTAATGTGTCAATAATGTGCAACCATGAGCATGTTATTTCAGAAGCTAGTTGTCTAAATGGCCACAAGGAGACATATTTCCTTCATTCACACTGGAGTCTCTGTGGTTACAGGAATTGGTGAGGTTTGACAATTGAAATATACCTGTTTGCACCAAAGAAAGTGGAACTAAAATAGTCTCCCTCACTAATTTTAGCACTTACTGACACAAGCCATTAGGAAGCGAGTTTTCACTTTGGACTTCAGAATTGATGTCTGTACAGAAATAAGTAGGAATTAAATATTTGTGGATGACTGACAACACAACTTAGTGATGACTTACCTCCCCTGGAGGGTGCTGGGATGGAGGCCATGATCCTCTCAATCTGGTTGATGGTGGATGACCCTGGAAACAGAGGCTTGTTTATCAACATCTCCCCCAGGATACAGCCTAGACTCCACATGTCCACACCCTTGGTGTATCTGTAACATACAGGAGACATACAGGCGACATACAGGTGACATACACAAAACATGCACAGGATACATACAAGAAACAAAATACTGTAAATCGCATATTTTTATGCGTCACAGTATTTTTGCAAGTGGCGACCAACAGACATTTTTGCGGCATGATATTTCTGCGACTTGCCTAATTTTCAAAAATAAATTGCAACTGAAAGGTGTACCAAAGTAAATCCAATCACATAAATAAAGGTTGCCACTAATCTAGAACTGAGCTCAGTAGAGTACTTCCGTGTTTATGCAATCAGTGATGTTTTCCTAATAGTAATAACAACACACGCTGCATAGACAATGACATCACCAAAGCTGTTCATCACCGGATAAGTGTGATGAAACTTATCCACGCTTGAGGAATGGTGTTGGCCTATCAAACAGTATCTAAAGTCTGGACTATCAGGCGTACTGATGGAGTAACTGTTGTTCCAGTATCCCTTGTTTGACATGTGACATGTGAGTACTAGTAGTTAGTAACGCTAGTAATTAGTCTTCTTCCCCAAGTTGTCGTCATTGCTCAATTAATGTATTGTCTAGATCTGTTGTTGATTATATAAACTGGTGAATAATAAATAGAAACCAATTGTTTATTGTGTATGACCAGCAAATTACGTCATGATATTTTTGCGAGCTCAAGTCATTCGCAATTTTTTGCAAAAATATCATGCTCACAAAAATTTCGTCATTTACAGTACATGAAAAAAGCATACAGGTAACATCAAGGACATATTTTGTATTAAAAAAGACATACTGAGGTCAGGCAGGTAAATACAGACGTCTTCAAGGGCACATACAATTGACATACAGTGGTCATACGGAGACATATGGGTCATACAGAAGACGTATAAAGACCAGGATACATACATTGATAATACAGTTGAAATACCCAGGTTTTACAGAAGGTATACACATGATATTGAGTGAGTTTAATTTTATGCTGCACTCAGGAATATTCCAGCTATATGACAACGGTCAGTAAATAATTGAGTCTGGACCAGACAATCAACAGCATGAGCATCGATCTGCGCAATGGAGAACCGATGACTTGTGTCAACAAAGTCAGCGAGCCTGACAACCCTATCCCATTAGTCCCCTCTTACGGCAAGCATGGGTTGCTGAAGATATCTTCTAACCCGGACCTTCATGGTTCTACACATAATATTGGGGTATTACAGGAGACATTTTGGAGATGACACGTATACCAGCAACAAACATGGGACAATCTCCTTGCATGTCGCAAAAGGTACATTTTGTTACTATGGCGATAAAACAGTTGGTTTACCTGTGTGATGCAAGCAGGATTTCAGGGGCTCTGTACCAGCGTGTGGCCACGTACTCTGTCAGATTGGGGTCACCTGTTTCGTCCATGCCGATCTGTGTGAGTGACCGTGCAAGACCGAAGTCACACAGTTTGACCACACATTCACTGTCCAGCAGGATGTTGGATGGCTGGAGGAAGAGAACAGAATAGTCTCATCACGCTCCTATATGTCGTACACATAATCATGATAATCATAACATCAATATGGACATCAATATCCCCCGCCACAGTGTTCTGTTCCTATTTTGACAACTATTCCTTCTTCCTACAAATTGTGATACATAAGCTGTTAAATGGGAAAAGGATTCTGTAAAAATCTGTCCCTAATGGGGATAATGCGCACTAAGTCAAGAAATGCATGACAAGGGCCATAACTCTGTAAAGAATCGTAACATGGTTTCCATTTTCGAATTCCATCAAGGCATATGTGTCCTGAAAAGACATACCACATTTGATTTCCCTATATATAACGTTTTTTGAGAAAATCTGTCCCCATTGGGGATACCGAGCACAAATGAAGTCATTAAACGCACGACAAGTGCCATAACTCTGTAACAAATTGTAACACGGCTAACCACGGCATTCATGTCCCCAATTCCATCAAATTTGATTCATCTACAACGTTTTTTGAGAAATCTGTCCCCATTAAAGATACTGCGAATTAAGTCAAGAAATGCATGACAAGGGTTTTTGAGAAAATCTCTCCCAATTATTAATAATTTTTTAAATGAAACTGATGGACTTTTAATATGTTTCAGGGATCCTTTTGCACAGATATGAAAATTTGCTAAGTTATTTAAGAGGTCATGACCCAATGTAAGACCATAACTAGCATTTTAATGTCACAGTAAAAAATATCTCGAACACATCTTGGGCACATAGATAATCAAGCATAATTAGGCAAACGAGATTGACTAACAGCTGAACAATGACTATTCCGCTGGGGTCCAAACATTGGTTCTGGAGACTTTCTGGAACATGTGAAGCTTCTGTGGCAATGACCATGTTACAGACATGTGAACTATAGTTACCTTCTGATCTCGATGGATCACATTGCCAGAGTGAAGATACTTGGTGGATTTGAACAGCTGGTACATGATGTATCGTTTGTGTACATCCTTCAGAATGTTGCCTCTCTTGATCACATTGTGAAGGTCAGTTTCTGGAAACATATACAACCAAATACTTGAAAATGTTCTACTTGATGCAAAGTTGTAGGATTCAAGTTACAACCAAATACTTGAAAATGTCCTACTTCATACAAAGTTGTAGGATTCAAGTTACAACCAAATACTTGAAAATGTTCAACTTGATGCAAAGTTGTAGGATTCAAGTTACAACCAAATACTTGAAAATGTTCAACTTGATACAAAGTTGTAGGATTCAAGTTACAACCAAATACTTGAAAATGTTCTACTTCATACAAAGTTGTAGGATTCAAGTAACAACCAAATACTTGAAAATGTTCAACTTGATGCAAAGTTGTAGGATTCAAGTTACAACCAAATACTTGAAAATGTTCTACTTCATACAAAGTTGTAGGATTCAAGTAACAACCAAATACTTGAAAATGTTCAACTTGATGCAAAGTTGTAGGATTCAAGTTACAACCAAACACTTGAAAATGTTCAACTTGATGCAAAGTTGTAGGATTCAAGTTACAACCAAATACTTGAAAATGTTCTACTTCATACAAAGTTGTAGGATTCAAGTTACAACCAAATACTTGAAAATGTTCAACTTGATGCAAAGTTGTAGGATTCAAGTTACAACCAAATACTTGAAAATGTTCAACTTGATGCAAAGTTGTAGGATTCAAGTTACAACCAAATACTTGAAAATGTTCTACTTCATACAAAGTTGTAGGATTCAAGTAACAACCAAATACTTGAAAATGTTCAACTTGATGCAAAGTTGTAGGATTCAAGTTACAACCAAATACTCTAACCAAGTACTTCCAGTGACAAACAATGTTTCATACCTTTTGAATGGTCTCATGGTTGTCAGTTGACAGTAAGGAACCGAAAATCCTTGCAGGAATAAGAAATTTCCGATCTAACCATCCCCAAATTAGCCAACTATTACGACTGTCAACAGCTGTGACATCCAAGTATGGTAGTACACTTGGTCTGGTCATATTTGGTGGTCACGCAATTTGGAACCAGGACTGGTTCTTGAATATACGCTTGTCACCGGAAATCTGGTACCTGAAGTAAGCTGGGCCCCATCTTGCATATCACAAGTTGGCACACACAAAGGGAGCCGGGAACCAGCTTAGTACTAGAAGTAGCACCTCACTAGACTTACAGGCCCTATACTTTAACATGATTAAGATGTTCTGTTTGGTGCAAAGTGACCAGAGACATCCAAACTGTTTGAGATGTACTGATTAGCGCAGGAGGCTGTAAACATGTCGGACAACCACATGAAAGTAACTTCAATCAAATGTACTCACCCATGAACTCAAAGACGAGATAGATGTCTTTGTCATTTTCTGCCTTGATGACGTTATGCAACTTGATGATGTTGGGATGGTCCCCGAACTCCTGGAGGAACATGATCTCTCGGAACGTCCTCTGTAACGCATATCAGACAATTTCACGACAAACACAATCATACAGATCAGTTGTTACGTTTGCAGAGTAACTACTATGTTTATAATGAACATGCTTACCATATATTACCGTAGATAAGCCGACCCCATAGATAAGCCGACCCCCTAACTTGACCCTTAAAATCAGTACCAAAATGGTATGTTTCCTACATAAGCCAACCCCCTGTGATGGGTGGCTGGTGGTATGCAGTATGCAGGGTATAATATATGGTATAACAAACAAACAGATACAACAAACTGGGCTTTTCTCTGACCCCTTGCTGTTAATCAGAGGTAAGTACAAACATCCACACAATATTTTATGTAAATGTATGAACACAATATTTATGCCAGTGTTATGTACAACATACACATGTACCAACAAAATGATATTTATGTCAGTTTTATGTAAATACATCAGTGCAATGATATCATGTTTTCTCATAATCGAACACAAACAATTCTGGAACACTTGTTTTCATCAACAATATTTTTCGCAAGGTCGGTTTTGTCTGTTACATTTCATAAGCACTACAAGCTCGTTCCAAGTCATGATTGAATTTATCTTAAAGACACCAAGAAATTTATGTTCCTAACATAATAATCATCCTTTAAAGGGGAAGTGTACACGAATAAATCACATTTATTCTTATGCGAATCAAAGTGAACTGTTTTAATTAGTTAATACCTATGTTTGAAAATATACACTCATTTTTCTCACAATGTAAGTATAACCCTCAAAATAAGTGCTGAAATGTTATGCCAATATGAGGTATTTCTTTGCCGAGCTAAATTGGCCAGAGTTACCGCCCTTTGATTATGACGTAATTGGTGCCACTTGATTTTAAACTGGTCTCCTGTCTAGTCCCAAAGCAAAAGATAATACTACTGATATTAATCACGTGAAAAAAAAGTTTGTGAAAATACGAAGAAGCATAAGAACAGAAAATGTAAGCAGCAGGATCGTGTGTATTTTCATTCATAACCTCGCCAATGAAAATACCAAATATGTATAACAATGTTGACGCTCAGATGACATCACTATCTGGAAGCTTACTTTTTCAAAATCGCGTGTTCACTGACACGAAAGTACGGAGTTTTCGAAGGAAGTTTTCGTTGTTTCAAGCAACGTATATGCAACGTATAAATTGTGCCATGCATGTAGTCCCAAACTTCTGTCAGTCTGCTGGTTGTTATTTTCTTTTTGTTTTCATTGTGACCAAGGGAAATTAAGAAAAGTACCGTCATCGTTGTGCGTGAGTTTGCGTCAGTTATGGCGTCATGCTTTCAAAAACTATAATATGTTGTGATGAATCTAGAAAATCATTGGAATACACCTGTTTTATTTAACTATCGCTTGCTACGATACCATCCCCATGCATGTTCTAAAACTAATGAGCAATTGTATGCAACAAGTAGGCGAACGGATACAGAGTGTAAAATCTGAGATTGGCTTTGCATACATTTCAAACAAGTATTCTTTCACAGCCAGGCATCTCATATCATCGATATATTCGTTAGATTTCACTGAAAGACTTCTCAGTATTGGTGACAAAGTCCATTTGTCAGCTTATTTTGAACTGTATGAGGAATTCAGGGATTCATGTAAGGAAGATGGTGTTGAATTTTATGGATCTAAACATAACCGACATACATGTGACGTGATTTTATAAACACTATGTAATATGGCTGAAAATTCACTTTGATCGCTTATGTATTTTCCAAAACATTCTCAGCGATTCTCGGTTCATTGATAATGTTTCAGAACGAGCATTGGTTTGATCATACAACAACAAAACTACCGCTGATCACAATGATCACGCCCTTTCTTTTAAATTTAATATTCTCCCAGTAAAATTTGACATTTGAATTAAGACATACCATAAATTACGCGAAAACGCAATGAATGGTGATTTAGTAATGTGTCAAAACTGGCTTAGATTTACGATGCATGTAATTTTCAGTAAATTGTATCTACTATGAGCGGATGATATCATAGAAAAACGAATTTCAAACAGTGTTCAAAACTGCAAATTGCATTTATCTGCATGATGTATGTACCATCAATATCAAAGTGAATTAGGTGGAAGAGGCTGACATATCGTACTATTTATGTAAGAACTTTAGTAACAAACGTAGAATGCCGCACATTCACCGATGGCAAGCAAGATGTAGTGCATATACGCTTTAGGTTTCATGAAAAAAGATACTGTTGGAAAGGCGAATCGACTCAGGTTGAATATGTTATACAATTTGGTTACGCGGGTAACACTTTGAGTACAATGTATACGTTTTTGCAAACTGCAACGCCATCACAGTGTAGAACTTACCACATAGTCAGCTGACGGCCAAGACACACGGGATTAAAACAGTAGCCTGCGCGATCGAGACACAAGAACCACACGTATACCTGCACCACGTGAAATGGGTCTAATAAGGTCTGACGACGTCATTCGTTTATCGTTTGGGCACCAATGACGTCATTTCCAAGGGACATAAGCCATGGTGTGTTTATTGTGGACATAGAACTCTTGGTAAATGTTGAAAATATGAATTGATATAACGCAAATAATAAATTAGTTACTTCTGATGTATGTACGGGTTTGGATATAAAACGACTTGATAAACACTTTTTATGCTGAAAAAGTGCAAGACAAAAAGGTAAATTTTCGTGTACACTTGCCCTTTAAAGATGTGAAATTTGGCCAACACCCCCCCAAATAACTACATGTTTTTTTTCCTTATTTTTTTGTGCATTAACAAATTTCATAAATAACGCTAACCAATTATTTTCAATGATTGATCGGTGATAATGAACCAATCATCAATTATGAGATTTAACCAATTCCCAACACTAATAGGAACACTGTATCAGTGTGTGGACATCAGTGCTATGTACATGTACCATCAGACAGATATTAAGTTTTACATCAGTGATACATACATGTATCAACACAGTGATATCTACAATAGTGATACACACATGTATCATCATACTGATATTTAGATTATTTACATCAGTGTTATATACACCTGGTATGTATATCAAGAAATGACACAGAAAGGGATTTACAGGATGCAAATTCCTGCGTCCTATACTCATAAAAATTGACAATGGACGCAACAAGATTTATAAGTCATTCAGAAAAGTCCAAATACCTTTTCGTAAAGAATCCAACCAAGTGACAATAAGTTATCACTGAGTTTGCTACTAGCTGGGTTATGGTATTATTTGCAATTTAATTACTGCAACAATGTGATGATCATGATACACAATACAATAACAATATTAATAATAATATTTAAGTGTCTGGGACCCCTATTTTGTTGTCCAAGACCCATGAATATTAAGAGTATGAGTCCCACTCCCAGTGACCCTCAAATACAGGAGTCCATGTAAATCCCTGTACAGACTAATACACTGCGTACCTGGGCATCTGTCTGGTTCCTGAAAGCATCGAAAATCTTCTTGACCGCCACCACCTCCCCGGTGCGACGGTCAATTGCCTTCCATACGATGCCATATGCCTGGAATGATGAAGAATATACATGAATATAATATTTTAAAAATGAAACTTGATTCTTAAATACCATGAATACTAGAGAATCAAAGACATCACTCCAAATTTGGAATTCTTTTTAGTGTATATAGTCATAATACATTGACTGGACCGCCTCGGTGGTGTAGTGGTTAGAGCATCCGCCCAGAGAGCGGAAGGTCACAGGTTCGATCCCCGACCGCGTCATATAAACGACTTTAAAATATGGTACTTGTTGGTCTCTGCCTGGCGCTCGGCATTAATGGGTACAACAAGGACTGGTCGGCTAGGAGTCAATATAATGTGTCTGAGTGGGGTATTCATGCTTCACTGCGGCATGGTATCTCAGTGGGTTAGCACTATAAAACAAGTTTAAGTCTGGGCTAGTACAAACAGCCGCACATACACATACACACTAGTGGTGGTCCGATTAATTGAAATAATCGAAGATTGGTCGCAATGACTAAACGACCAAGCAATCGATCATAATTCTCATAATCGAACACAAACAATTCTGGAACACTTGTTTGCATTAACAATATTTTTCACAAGGTTGGTTTTGTCTGTTACATTTCATAAACATTACAAGCTCGTCCCAAGTCAGGATTGAATTTATCTTAAAGACTCCAGGAAATTTATGTTCCTAACATACTAGTCATCCTTTAAAGATGTTAAATTTGCACATGCATTTTGTGGAATTTGCAAAAAGACTCATAAGAACTACGGTTTTTTTTTTTGTTTTTTTTGTGCAGTAAGAAACATAACCAGAAAAATTTGATAAATGATGCTGACCAATTATTTTCGATGATTGATCGGTTGTAATGAACCAATCATCAATTATGAGATTTTATCTAATTTCCAACACTAATACACACGCATGAACATCGTCATATGAGCGAAATATTCTCAAGCACGACGTTAAACCCAATTTCACCTCACCTCATAGTCATAATACATTGACTACAGACTAGTCAAAATTATCATACTGACCAACATTTGGCAGATGTGACAAATCATTCTCAATTTCATTTAATCAAATATGCCAGTATACATATTGACTGCTATCACTTTGTGACCAGGTATATTTGCTAAACAAATTCACATCACATGTCCATGATTTCAAGCCAGTTGGATTCTTTTTTGGGTTTACCGATTTTATAATTGAAATATCCCGGTTGATTGATGAGCATCAAAGTACAATATAAAACACATTCATTTTCTTTTGAAAAGTTATCTGAATTTGTTACTTGGTATGCATAGTTAGATAAGCTTATCACGCCGTCAACCTACTGTTACCTTGTTATCTTGCACTGGGAGTGCAGTGTTACAGTTTGCACTTTTTATGTGCTTTTTCTGCATGTTATCATGGCAAGTCTGTACTTGAGGAATGACCATTTTAAATTGAATCATATTTCTTCTTTTTAGGGCAGCAAACCATTCAAATGATTAAACAATTGTTTTTAAAAGTATTGCCGAATTGGAAATAACACTGGTGAAATGTACAGCAGTAGAACTATGGGTGTCAAAGTACCTATATTTACACTGGTATATTACTCAAAAGATGTTAAAGAACACACAATTTTTATCATACAACTATTATTCATCCCTCATGGCACGACATATTCACTTTTAAAGGCACAGTGTGACAGTACCACGCCACATTCTCTAAAAATCAATATTTGAATATTGCATTTCTCTCATTAATACTAATTATCAGCCCCCAGCGAAGCTACCATATAATTTATTCGGAAAAAAAATATGCATCAAGATTACAGTATGAAATTAAAAGTTCAAATGAATTAATGCAACATTGCATAAACTCGACTCTCGGGCCCTCTACTGACCGAACTTTATTTCAAGCGAACCCCATAGTGTTATGTCCCTTGGAAAGCTCTTTACGAATATCCTATAATGCAACTTGTAATTGAGGCCAGTTCAGCAAACACCGACAAGACAGTGTGCGACGGTTTTCGATGTACGGAGCAATCGTTTACATTCCAATAATAGCGATTTGAAACTATGATCGTTTGTTAAACAACTTTTATCCTCAGTTGAATAAAATTCTGAGATTTTTATGTTCAATTGGCAAGGTAAAGTTATGAGGATTCGCACTCTTAATTTCACTTTATTTGATTTCCTTTTTGTTTAAAGTGAAATTCATCGGTACGTTTTCACTGCAAACAGACTATAAGTCTAATCTGAATACACATTGGTCAAGTGATAGAGTGAATGTTACTTTACACTGCAGACAATGTTCTGTATTGAAATTGATTATTATTAATATTAATCCAGTATGGGCACCATACCAGTGGCTTGTGATAACCTGGGTCCCCTGACAATCTGAAGTATTGACCCAGTATGAAATTATTAATATATTATTAATATTTTATTAGATTACCATCCTCAAGACAAGAAAGTCATGATGTGCATTCCACTCCTCTGTTGTTTCATCAATGTCAATATAGGTCTTGCTGCCCAATATTTACTCTTTAGGTAATTTGTATCCATCAACAGTAAACCTATGAGGATGCCTTGAATAGTTTCTTTTTTAGAGACGTAATAATACAGATATTTTTAAAATGCCCTCTGCCTTAGATTTGTAAAATATAACAGGGCTCCAGATAATTTTTCAACATCAGGAGTATGTACTGCTTATTTTTTCAATATAGGAGTACTGGAAAACCTTAAGAGTACATTTTGAGTACTGAATGGAATTTAATGGCGGATCAGTAATCTTGTGTTTCGTTTCATATATGCACCACAACATAGCTACTCTTGTGTAAAAAGGTCAATAAACAATAAAACAATATTTGTTCAGATAAATATGTCTGTAAATGATTCTATGACCATGCAGCATTGCTGTGGTGCGTATCTGCTACGTTTTCTAAATTATTTCCTACCGTATCGTGCATATTTTATATCCGTACATATGCCGATTCGGCCCTTATCTGGAGCCCTGATATAAGAATGGAAACCTAATAAAAATTTATTGTGGCCTTATTTGAATATGTCTGAGTAGGACTGTATTTGACCGGAAGTTCAATATTGATACTTGGTCATTGACTAATGATACCATCAACTGGTTTAACATCGTTATAGATAAGAAGTATAGCTAGTACAGTGAGATGCTTCTAATACGCTCCATAATCTTGAAGCGTTTATTCTAATGTCAGTATATTTTGCCCCATTGTGTTTTGACACACACGATATAAACACAATAAACAAGAAGGGTCAACATCAAGTTCACTTTTGAAAAGTGTGAAAAGACTGTGATAACTAGGGGTGTCACGATACACCAATCTCACGATACGATACGTATCACGATTTTAAGGTCACGATACGATACGTATCGCGATACATAATTATCGCGCCTTTTCATAGCATTACCTTACCGGCAACGTACGCGTTCGCTGACTGGTCCATCAAAATAGTCTAGCCAATCACAAAAGCTGTTAGTTTCCAACCTATTTTTTAAGTAAAGCTAGCTACATCTATTTATCGGAGCGGTCTGGTATAATTTTACTATCAAGACTTTGACGGAGATGGATATAGCATAAAAATTTGAATCGATAAAGTTTTAAAATAGGAATCGATACACGCAAGCATGTATCGCGTATCGTATCGTCAGTAAAAATGTATCGATGTATCGATACATTCACGTATCGCGACACCCCTAGTGATAACACAACGATATGTATAATAGGCGAATGGGCACCATTTGATAGAGACCTAATAATAAAAACAATAACCATCTCATTAAATATAAAATTCCGTTTGTACAGCGATATGGCTGCAATATTGCTGATGTGATGTAAAATCTTAACTCATTCACTTTGTAAAAGGTTTGATGTCCTTCAGGAACATTTGTTTTACTAGTGCAATACAAAAATGTATCATGAGCCCCTCTATTATCGCGGTAGTTAATGTTGTCGCCATCGGGATTATAAACGGCTACTGACATTGAGCATTTTATAGATATTTTCAGTTGACTGATGTTTAATCTTCATTTCTTTCACAAATAATATGACACATAGTCGCAACTCGTTTAATACCATTGCGGCAATTCCGATTGTCTCGTTTAACCCGGAAATTGAAGCAACTCTCTATTATCGCGGTATTGCTATTTTCTCACTATGGCACGCCGTACAAGCAGATGACACTATGAAACGTTTACTAAGACAAGTAATGAATCTAAATAGTTTGATCATTAAAAAATATTTTGGTATTTCATTCACATTAGCAATAACATCATGTTTTTAACCCAAACATCTGAAACTTCTATCCATTTGGATACAAGGTACCAATAACGTTGCAAAATATTGTTTTTCCGCCTTAAAACATACCATACAAGTTGCTGCCGTGTGTAGAGTGAAGTTGCATAATACGTCACTTCCTCTTATATTTTTAGCACGGAAAATATGCAAATGACCTTATAGTTGTCACAGGATTACTCTTGACAAGGTAAGTTTTGATTCATGCTAGATGTAATGGCAGTAGGGGTCATACTAGTTTCAAAATGTTCTAGAACTTACTGAAAAGATGAATGCTTTAATATTTCTACGATTAGACATGACATTCCAATTAAATAAATGACTTTTTTCAAGAGCGATGAATATATTTACGTAATTTGCATATGTAAACAGCCGATGTGGGGCGTGGTGTGTCTGCTTTCCCGATGTTTTCGCGTGCCGCGATAATAGAGAGTCCCACTATACAAAGCAGGCATCACTTTCACACATTCATTTACTTATTTTATAATGCTATGTAATTTATTGTGCATCTAGGATGTAAAAAGACTTATTTTACTACCTAACTACAAGTATAAGCAGATAGCACCATGTGTATTCTTGGCCACTACTCAAGTGCACATTGTTCACACCAATCCTACAATTAATTACATAAGCCCTTGAAGAATATTAACGAGCATAGAAGGCAAATGGCAAGATCACAAAACGCATATGACCACTGATAGACATATTGACAGTGCATTTGAAGGTTGTCGTCACCCATTTATGTCTCAAAAACTCATGATATGACAACTAAATGAAGGATACCGTGAGTCTACATTGTCATTTGAGTGACCATCGATTTCTGGGCTGTCTCACGGTTGGATGCCTCAACTTGGGGCAAGCCCAATTCCGGCAGACATGTTTCATGTTTATTTTGACACGAATAACAAACCGAAACGACATAATGACTTTAAAAACGTTGCATCTGACATGATGTCAAGACTTTGTATCTGATCAATGTCAGGGGTTTCAAGTTGAGGTATCCGTCGAAAGACCAACAAGTACGAACACATCGCTTCTTTTCAAATAAAACACACAGAAAATCAGACATAAGGCATCATTTATCAATAATAAGAATTAAAGGCATTATTCCGTTACATACCCCTTTTCCAAGCCTCTTCTTTATTTCATACTTCTTTGTGATGTGAGGCTCTATTTCAGAATTCATATTTCCGAATATTCCAAGTCGAAGCGTCAACAGTCATGGATGCCGGAAGTCGCCATGATACAAATTACAGTAGGGGTGAAGGTACAACAAATAGTCCCTTCAGAACATTGAGTTACTGCACCAAAACAAGCATAAAACAATGTTTTCTCTTCAGAAATGATTCACTGTATATACTATCAACTTGGATGTAATGTTAAAGAAGGCACGTTTGTCTTACTTTAGATGTGCAATTTTCCAGGCGACGTAATACTACGTGAAGTAAGTAGGTCCAGCACACAATTTGTTTCGTCATCAAAATATGTGCATTTATGTGCATTACCATAGCAATGACCTTTCGATCGACCTCAAAACAGTTGGGGAGAGGCATGGATCTTGGAGTGGCACACGCACGCTTGATTAATATTGATGGAGAACATCTGGGGCAGATAAGATTGTAAATATTTGATCGGTACTTCAATTTGTATCTTGATTGATATGATCCTTTGTAAGTTAATTTGACGTAGGCTGAACAACCATCTCATGTTATGACATCTAAAAATAGTTGTTGCAGTCAATGTGTAAAACCAGTGCGTGCAGAGACCATACAATAGTCTATTATATGGTCTCTGGTGCGTGAGATGCAATTCACATACAAAATTAAAATTTAAAAAAAAAATAACATTAAGACTTAAACCTTTACATTTTTACTAAAATGTTCCATGAACTTCATCCTAACAGACTTCATTCTGACATATAAAATAGAAAAACGTAACTAATTGTTTTCCGTATTTCTAACATTTTCATGAAACATGTTTACAATTCGTTATCATAATAAACTAAATGTACGTAAAACGACTGAAATATTTTTGCGTTTTGTAAATTGGGAAAGAGATCCTTCCGTTTCCCCCATATTCTTTCTTTGATCATAACTGGGAAAGAGTTCCTTCCGTTCCCCCATATTCTTTCTTTCGCAGATTAACACTAGAGGTAACGCTAGGTGGTTCGATCTTATATATTGTAATTAATTTGGGGGCTTTTAGTTATTTTTGTGAGTTCTCCAGTAATTATTGTGTTAGGTTTTGTTAATAATTTTAGTATATATTAATTTATAAATATTATTTGGGATGGGGGAACGGGAGGAAAGTGACACGGACTGATTTTACATATTTACTGTAACATATCTACATACAAATGTTGATCGAGATGGAAATTAGACTAGTCTATGCAAATAGTTCTTAGTTCTGTAAGTGCATATAAATATTAATGATTATACATTTAAACATGATCATGTTATATATTTTACACACAAATTCCAAGCGTTGAGAAAATATAAATAACTGAAATGTCAACGCTGATTTTTCTAAAGCGAGTTATGGCGTTTATCTTAATTTCCGATTTTGTGGTAATAAACTGTCAATTTCACTGACAATGGTTCGTGTCCCTTTCTTTAATATTTCACATACTTTTGGTAAGATTACTCTTGCACCATCCTCGAAATCACAGCTAGGTGAGTGGTTGGTTAAACAAGAAAATACACACGTTAAGTGAAATAACTGTGCTCTTTGAGCCTTTAAGAATCATATGCATGATTAACTAAACATATCACTTGCATAAGTCATTTCATGCCCCTTTCGAAATTTCTTTACGCTGCCATTTTTGGATCCTGGGGGATATACTATTCGTATTTATCACTTTGGTGAAACCACGAAGATGAATAATGTTTAGGTCCATGGTTTGCGACCAGCAAGCTCGGGAATGGCGCTATACAAACCTAGAGAATCTGGCCCGCAAACCCACGATCATAGGTTTCTTGCACACCTAAGGGAGACTACTCCGTAAAGCTAATCGCGGAGCCTCACACCGCGTGGGCCAACCATAGTAAAATTTTGGCTTTGGGTATACATTGTACATGCTTTCGATACGAGTGAGTGAGTCTGGTTTTACGGCGCTTTTAACAGTATTTAGTTTATCACAGCGTGGCAGGTTATTGTTTGAGGAAAACATTAGATGATGTGGGGCTGTGATGTCGTTTACCGCTTTTGTTGAGACTCGCGAGCTCAGGTATAGTGTTAACAAACCTAGAAACATAATTGGGATTCGAACCCATAGTTTCCGGCTTGCCGAGGCGTAGACGACGAGGCCAAGAGTGCCCCCGCTTTCGATATACATTGTATACTACACAAAAGTAATGAAAGAACACGCGCGTTTATATATGACTCTATTTAATATGTCATGCATGGCGGGTGGATATTGCAACACGCGCTTTTTTAAGTTGTTTTGAGTAGTATATATATATATATATGTAAAAGATTAACACACGCACACACACACACATGTGCATGTGCATGTATGTTGCTGTGAAACCCCATAGCTCCTCGCCCACCTTAGAGGACGAGTATGTGTGGGTAACGTGTTGATTTATATATACTACCCATCAAAAGTTTAGACTCACTAATGTAAATGTAGCCACTTACTTCAGTCAACTGTTCTGAACTAGATTTCGCAAAAATATTCCATACTGTTTAAAGGTACTGTTTACACATGAACTGATGTATTGTAAAACAAATTCGTAACGTTGAAAAGATTATTGTCATGAGTTCAATAAATGATGAAACTCCATGAAAATTGGCGAATTCTTAACAAACCTTACACCAAAACGCAGCTGTTCACATATACGATATTTTCACACGCTCTGCAACAATTTGATGCATGATCCACATGCAATTCATCTGCATAAGGTTTGCGGTTGGTTCCCCCAAGTTAGTGGAGAAATTCATCGTCTATGTAACCATATATAACACATATAGTGAGTGCTTTAAGTGAGTCTAAACTTTTGATGGGTAGTATATATACGGAACTCTCTATATAGACCGGATCCAGTACTATATTCAGGTGCGGCTGCACTCGGATACACTTTAGCTGAACACAACACATCATTACCCAGCATTAATGCTTCCTCAGAAAAGGTAACATAGTGTCTTAATTCTTGTGTGGAAAAATGGAATGGAATAGGTCCATGATGCTCCATGTGACAGTGCAGCGGGCATCCCGGCCTGGGATATAGCTCACCAGGACACAACCTCTAGGCTTGTCGTACGAGGAGTGAGTGCTGTTTTACGCCGCTCTTAGCAGAATTCCATCAATATCATAGCGGGGGACACCAGAAATGGGCTTCACACATTGTACCCATGTGGGGAATCGAACCCGGGTCTTAAGCGTGACGACCACAGCCCCCGTACTAAAAGACTAAATCGACGTGGTGGTCAGACTCGGTGGATGGTGTGTCCTCGTACCCCGGCGGCGTGAGAAGTTGCTCATGATATCAATCACTAAGCTGCGTGGTCCGGGCGGGAATATACAAGTCTCCACCGGAAGAGTGTTCATTGCTACAACAAAAACATCGCTGTTTCTTCCTGACCCATGTATGACTTTCCAACAAAGGACATTTACCGTTATGACTTGATATTCACGAATACTGATACGGACATTACAAACGTGAAACTGTAAACAAGACGTGTTACATACACGATTAGAATTGCTCTTCAGTAACCTATGCTTGTCGTAAAAGGCGACTTACGGGGTTGGGTGGTCAGGCCGCGGCCTTGGTTGAAGCTTGCCATCGTGTTCAGTCGCGTCGATCGATGCTCACAATGTGAATCACTGGATTGTTTGCTCCAGACCCGATACTTTACAGACCGCCGTGACATAACTGGAAAATTGTATGGCCTCAAACAGGGTCGGTGGGGTAGCCAAGTGGTTAAAGCGTTGGCTCGTCACGCCGAAGACCCGGGTTCGAATCCCCACATGGGTACAATGTGTGAAGCCCATTTCTGGTGTCCCCCGCCGTGATGTTGCTGGAATATTGCTAAAAGCGGCGTAAAACCATACTCAGTCAGTCAGTATGGCCTCAAACAAAATCAAAATGTTCTTTAAGGCCGCACCCAGCTATAAATAGACCACGCCAAGTCGTAAATAATGTAGACGGGGCGCACGGCACGATGAGACACAGCGGCCAAGCCCAACTCCTCGATACAGTCATATCTCGTGGAGTGTGTGGTGGCGTTTGTGTATCCCGGAATCCCAAAGATTACTGTACACGAAGCGGTGTTCTATTGATTTTACGTAGTTAGAGTCAGACTTGGCTGGATTTCATGTGCATCATATCAATATTAACTTATAATACCTAACCTTATATCTCTCTAAACGAATGAAAGTTAAAGCCATCCGTTTTTATGTTTTTACATGTATGTGTTTCTCTTCTCCAACCTCAGCCAGAGTGGACGCAGAACATAATTAATAGAAATGAATAAAAATAATGTTGTTCGCTAATTGTGTAACGTTTTGTATACAAACAAATAAATCAAGATCAATTGGTCTTGAAATTTATTTATTATTTAGATCCAGTGGCTTTGCTTCGAAACAAAATGCAGTAATGTAGATAAAGGTGAGGTGAAGTGAAATTGGGTTTAACGTCGTGCTTGAGAATATTTCGCTCATATGACGACGTGCATGCGTATGTGTATGTGCGGCTGCTTGTACTAGCCCAGACTTAAGCTGGTTTTATAGTGCTAGCCCACTAAGATACCACGCCGCAGTGAAGCATGAATACCCCACTCAGACACATTATACTGACTCCGAGCCGACCAGTCCTTGTTGTACCCATTAATGTCGAGCGCCAGACAGGGACCAACAAGTACCATATTTTAACGTCTTTTGTATGACGCGGCCGGGGATCGAACCCGGGACCTTCCGCTCTCCGGGCGGACGCTCTAACCACTACACCACGGAGGCGGTCTAATGTAGAATGAAACACACACACACGCTCGCACGCACGCACGCACGCACACGCACACACACACAAACACAGAGAGAGAGACACACACACACACAGTACACACACAGACACAGACCTCTGGCTATATCTTACCCTTAGAACAAAAACTGAAATAGACAACAAAAATACCAAAAAACAATGCAGTGACATATACCTTTATGGTATATACCTTTATGGTAGTATTTACGAACACAAACACATGTGGCCATACGTGTTCTATCAGCTTATGATACGAACAATACAAAGATATGACCACAAAGAAAACGTCGTGTTATGAAAAGGTATGTCCTTCTTATTATAACACAGAGACATATCATCAGTATGCATGGCTTGTGTCGGCAGACTTTGTATGATGTGCTCTCTTTTCCGACCATTTCCAATATTTATTACCATAGGGACCTTTTATATTGTTCACCGGTGCAGTTTTGTAGCGTCACCGGTATCGACCGGTGCTTTTGTGCTTTGTTCCCTGTGGATGTATGCTTTGCGAGAGTTGACGCAGTCAACAATTTTGACAGGTGTACATTTCAAACTTGCGCAACGTGAGACTTTGCTTCAATGAAATTGGGGGTCATTTATTGTTTCGTAATTCCGTTCGCACAAAGGCATACTGAAACAAAAGAGACGGTGTGAAAACCCTCGTGTTTTGTTTTGGAGCTAAAAGACGTAAGTGTGCTAGGCGGAATCAGCACTTGTCCTAAATCGTGCTGCTTTCCCTGTTTGTTATCAGTCCTCAGTTTGACTCTTCCCGTTGATCAGCTTTTATATTTATGAATATTTCGTGATATTTCATCAATTTATTATTAACAACACTAATAAACTTAACGAAGGAGTGTAAACATGCTTCATGATTTCTCACCTGAATGTGTGTTAACAAATGAATAGAAACATGATGATAACAATATGTTTTAGTGTAGACCAGATATGAGGCGTGCATACTTTTGGTTTTGATTTAACTAAAATCCATAGATATCAAATGACATTAAATAGTCATATTTATCATTTTATTGTTGTCGTTTGAATCAGATCTATAAAAAGATATCACAAGTAGACCTAATAATGTAACTGATGTGGGACCAGCATTAATAGAGAACTGGAATTTTCTATTTCTTCCTTGTAGAATTTCATATTTTATGTGCATTAATTTACAATAATAAACTGTTAACTGGTATTTCAGGTGATGGAGATACGGCTTCGAGATCGAAGCAATAAGGTGCGATATGAATTCCGAAGGGTGGCCCGTGAGGTCACCCATGAGATGTATGATGTCCCAGAAGACAATCAGGTCCTCATTGCCTACCAACCTGAGCGCCAGACCAGAGGCCCTTCACAGATAATGGAGCAGACGCAGCACACGCAGCACAAGTCAAGGTCAGGAGGTGGTCGAACACTGCAAGTAGCATGTGGTGCCTTGTCTTTCAGCCTGGCTGATCCATCCATGGCTGAAGCAGGTTCCATGTTTGACAGCAGCTTTTACAACATGATCACATTCCTGTTTGTAAAACCGGATCATCAGAGGAAAGGAGTGGGTCGACAGTTGATCCAGGCGGCCCTTAAACAAATGGCTGCCCATGAGCCAAGTCGACCAGTGAGAGTGGAGAGTGCACTAGGTGCAGCTTACTTCTTTGAAAAGCTTGGCTTTGTTCGAGTTAGTTCACCATATGAGACTGTGTGTTCAGGTGCCAGGCTGTTTAGGTCAATAGTTAATATGGAGCATGAAGCTCCTAGATGTGATCCTTGAGTTCAGAACAGCAACTGTTCATGGATGAAGAGATTATGTAATGTTGCTCAAGACAATGCATTGAGGATGAAGAGGTTGCTGCCAACATCATCATTTATGGATGAAGAGGTTATATGATGTAACCGAGGACAGCATCATTGATTGATGAAGAGATTATATGATGTGACCGAGGACAGCACCATAAGTGGATGAAGTGTTTATATGATGTGACCGACGACATGTCGTCATGTAATCATGTGGGTTATATTGTAGACTGGGACATCTCTCATGTCAACAATAATGGTACTTCATCAAGTATTGGTGAAAGTGTTTAAATCAAATTGTCTGGTATGACAAATGTGTTTTCAAACTGTTATGAACATGATGACACTGATGAAATGAATATTTTCAAATTGCTTTGAAATACATGTCTTCATGTTACTTGTGTTTTATAAACCAGGTGGAAATTTGTGTTTTTGTTGATCATTATTTCTTAATGTATTTTGAACACTGCTGTTGTTTGGAATGTTGCCACGAACCAGTTTCACACTTCCATGTTTCATGGCCATGTCACACACCAAGCTTCACACCAGTTTAACACCCAAGTCACACACCAGCTTGACTCGAGTCACACACCATTTTCACATCCAAGTCACACACTGAGATTCACTCCAGTTTAACACCCAAGTCACACACCAGCTTTACTCGAGTCACACACCATTTTCACATCCAAGTCACACACTGAACTTCACTCCAGTTTCACACCCAAGCCACACACGTTTCACACCCACATCACACACCGAACTTCACTCCAGTTTCACACCAAAGTCACACACAGAGCTTCACTCCAGCCACACACCAGTTCCACACCCATGTTGCACACTGAGCTTCACACCCAAGTCACACACCAGTTTTACACCCAAGTCACACACTGAGCATCACTCCAGTTTCACACCCAAGTCACTCACCGAGCTTCACTCCAGCTTAACCCCCATGTCACACACCAGTTTCACACACGAGTTGCATACCAAACTTCGCTCCAGTTTCACACCAAATACACACACCGAGCTTCACTCCAGTCACATGATAGTTGCATACCAAAGTTGCACACCTGTGTCACACCCAAGTCACACACCAAGCTTCACTCCAGCTTCACACCCAAGTCACACACCAGTTTCACACCCGTCACACACTGAGATTCACTCCAGTTTCACACCAAAGTCACACACCAAGCTTCACACCCAAGTCACACACCAGTTTCACACCCAAGTCGCATACCAAACTTCACTTCAGTTTCACACCCAAGTCACATATCAAAATTCACTCCAGTTTCACACCCAATTCATGCACCGAGCTTCACTCCAGTTTCACACACTGAGCTTTAGCTCCAGTTTCACACCAAAGTCACACACCAAGTTTCACACCAAAGACATACCAGTTTCACACCCAAGTCACACACCAGTTTCACACCCAAGTCGCATACCAAACTTCACTTCAGTTTCACACCCAAGTCGCATATCAAAATTCACTCCAGTTTCACACCCAATTCATGCACCGAGCTTCACTCCAGTTTCACACACTGAGCTTTAGCTCCAGTTTCACACCAAAGTCACACACCAAGTTTCACACCAAAGACATACCAGTTTCACACCCAAGTCACACACCAGTTTCACACCCAAGTCGCATACCAAACTTCACTTCAGTTTCACACCCAAGTCGCATACCGAACTTCAGTCCAGTTTCACACCCAAGTCACATACCAAGCTTCACTTCAGTTTCACACCCAAGTCGCATATCAAAATTCACTCCAGTTTCACACCCAATTCATGCACCGAGCTTCACTCCAGTTTCACACACTGAGCTTTAGCTCCAGTTTCACACCAAAGTCACACACCAAGTTTCACACCAAAGACATACCAGTTTCACACCCAAGTCGCATACCAAACTTCACTCCAGTTTCATACCAAATTCACACACAGACCTTCACTCCCGTTTCACACACAAGTCACACACTGAGCTTCACACCGATGTCACACTGAGCTTCACTCCAGTTTCACACCCACGTCACATACCGAGCTTCACTCCAGTTTCACACACAAGTCACAAACCAAGCTTCACTCCAGCTTGACACCTTAGTCCCACCAGTGTCACCCAAGTCACACACCGAGCTTCACTCCAGCTTGACACCTTAGTCCCACCAGTGTCACCCAAGTCACACACCGAGCTTCACTCCAGCTTGACACCTTAGTCCCACCAGTGTCACCCAAGTCACACACCGAGGCTTCACTCCAGCTTGACACCTTAGTCCCACCAGTGTCACCCAAGTCACACACCGAGCTTCACTCCAGCTTGACACCTTAGTCCCACCAGTGTCACCCAAGTCACACACCGAGCTTCACTCCAGCTTGACACCTTAGTCCCACCAGTGTCACCCAAGTCACACACCGAGCTTCACTCCAGCTTGACACCTTAGTCCCACCAGTGTCACCCAAGTCACACACCGAGCTTCACTCCAGCTTGACACCTTAGTCCCACCAGTGTCACCCAAGTCACACACCGAGCTTCACTCCAGCTTGACACCTTAGTCCCACCAGTGTCACCCAAGTCACACACCGAGCTTCACTCCAGCTTGACACCTTAGTCCCACCAGTGTCACCCAAGTCACACACCGAGCTTCACTCCAGCTTGACACCTTAGTCCCACCAGTGTCACCCAAGTCACACACCGAGCTTCACTCCAGCTTGACACCTTAGTCCCACCAGTGTCACCCAAGTCACACACCGAGCTTCACTCCAGCTTGACGCCTTAGTCCCACCAGTGTCACCCAAGTCACACACCGAGCTTCACTCCAGCTTGACACCTTAGTCCCACCAGTGTCACCCAAGTCACACACCGAGCTTCACTCCAGCTTGACACCTTAGTCCCACCAGTGTCACCCAAGTCACAAACCGAGCTTCACTCCAGCTTGACACCTTAGTCCCACCAGTGTCACCCAAGTCACACACCGAGCTTCACTCCAGTTTCACACCCAATTAACACACCGAGCTTCAAACCAGTTTCACAGAGAGAGAGAACACAGGGTAGAGAGAAGACCGGCATAGAGACGGAAGAGGGAGAGAAGATTGGCGCAGAGGCGGGTATAGAGAAAGAGAGGGGAGGTTTACACAGAACTCAGATATTCCAGTGATCAACATCATGAACATCGATCTACACAACTGGGATACGATGACATGTGTCAACCAAGCCAGCGCGCCAGACCATCCGATCCCGTTACTCGCCACTTACCACAAGCATGGGTTGCTGGAAACCAGTTCTAACCTGGATTTTCACGGGTAATGCGTTTACGCTTGAGGGATAGTAAGATAGGTTACAGGAGGGAGAGAATGGCCGCGGAAAGAGGGGGCGGTTGACGTTTGGCTGGTAGAAGCCCGCCGTGGGCGATGTTACACAGATAAGTGCCTGTCTCTCAAACTGTTGTAGCTAAGGTCGACACCCCACGTGCGGCCAGGTACCACGAGTAAAGGTTATGGTGTCAAGTGGGCTGCCACCTTCGCCGCATACAGCACATCAGGTCGTCTCAGGGGTATTTGTATCCACCATAGACCCATTTTTCATCCCATTATACATTAAAAAATGATAATTTTATGGATATACAACTTCTTTATACTGTCAAAGGCGCCGTTTCGACAAATGTTGTCAAGCATCACTTGCTTGACAACGACATTAGAATCTATGTCGAAACAATGCCCGTCAAAGAAGTCAACACGTTTATTTAATACCTTTTTAAACGTGTAAAATATATTGAAACGTATTTCGAGTCTAATTGAATTTATTTCATAAGCATAATATTCTTCTAACTTCGAAATGTCTTTGTGTTCAAATTCAGGGCAATATTTAGCCCTGTTAATCAACCACTGCACAGCGTATCAAGCTTTTCTCAACGTAATCGTTCATCACCAACTCGCTCAACTTAGCATGTGAATACTGGCTGTTATAATCACATAACTTACATTGCTCATTGTCTATGATATAAGATAGCAATGGCTCATCTGACACTGTATACATATTAATTACTGGTACTAAATGATCATCTGTCTAGCATTGCACAAATTAATCGCCTACCTGCATTGCATGTATGCATTGATATTTTAACGTTGTACTGAGTTTTCGACTACCCTGACGTGGACTGTCTTGACCGTTCATATAGCATTGTACATATTGGTATGGCCTGTCCCCCAAGGTCATAGAGTATATATTAAACTATGAGTCCAACTCAGATGGGACACGTCTAGATCGACTTAGCTTCAGGAGTTAAGAACTATTCTAGGCTCCTTGTGGATATTGTTTTTGGATGTCCCTTGGAAATAGTCTAACATTGGTACACCGGAGCATCACTGGCTTCACACAGTATATTGTTACTACCTAACACCGCAGTAGGATCGCTTGGAATGCACTGGACTGTCGTAAACTAACGTATCGCACATCACTCTTCTGTATGATCTTCTCGCGCTTTAAAACACTATTCAGGACACTGTAGAAAATCATATCATACGGTAAACCACTGTAATATTTCCGACATGATGTATGTTTTTATAATTCTTCCAAATTTAAGAACACGCACGAGAACTGTGCTAAAGGATGTCACGCATTAGTACATTGTACAAAGGCATGGCAGGCACTCAACACTGCAGAAACGACCTTTGTTCTGTCAGGATGTAGACAGGAACATAAGTTTCACTGGTGAGTCTGCTCCAATTTGTCGTCTGCCGGTGAGTCTCCTGCAAAATGTCGTCTGCTGCTGATTCTATTCCAATATGTCGTCTGTTAGTGAGTCTCCTGCAATATGTCGTCTGTTGGTGTCTCCTGCAATATGTCGTCTGCTGCTGATTCTGCTCCAATATGTCGTCTGCTGTTGAATCTGCTCCTGATTTTGCTCCAATATGTCGTCTGCTGTTGCGTCTGCTCCAATATGTCGTCTGCTGCTGATTCTGCTCCAATATGTCGTCTGCTGTTGAGTCTCCTTCAATATGTCGTCTACTGGTGAGTCTCCTTCAATATATCGTCTACTGCTGCGTCACCTCCAATAGTCGTCTACTGGTGCGTCACCTCCAATGTATCGTCCACTGCATATGACTCTCTCAGTTTTGGCTCCCTTGCACTGTTGATAATCCCGTCATATAGTCTTGCTCGCATTGGCCATTTCTGTGAAAGGGAAAATCCATGTTAGTATTACTGCCAACCGATATAAGACGACATTAGAATTCTACCGAACGCTGTCATATATCTGAATATTTAGGAACACTTCGACCAACATGACAGCAATAATTATGGAACACTGGGATATCACCATCGATCTTGCACATTTACCCTACCATGGACACACTCCGACACAGGATCTCACCACTTGTCACGCGATCTTGCCTGCTACTTTTGACAGATTGTGCCACGGATCCCATACCCTGTAAATCGAG